GCGGAGTCAATCTCACCGATGGAGGGGTGGGCAGCGGCCAAGTCGCGGAACACTCCTTCGGCCATTGGGGAACGACCTAGATAGGATTAGCATGTCGCAATAGCGGGGGAGAGCTGGGCATGACGGACAGATATTTCCCAGGCATACAAATAGCACGCTGCTAGAGCGCCCATTCGAGTTGGAAGCCATAGTGGGGTAGGGATCAAGGAATCTTGATTTGATCGGGAGCTAGGAAGTGAGAAAATAGTAGGAAGTCCTTGGGTTTTGCCAATGCAAGGCGTGGGGGGGTTATCGATACGGGGTCTCCACCAGAGCCCTCCAGGGCTGGAGAGTCCAGGGCTGGAGAGAATCTCTTCACTTGCATTACGTCCTACCCATCGTACACCAATTTGGATTACGTACCACACATGTAGGCAGAAATCAGGAACAAAGCACTCAAGGATTAGATCAAGGCCAAACCCAGATTGAAGGATCTACACCTATTCATAGTACATAGGTACTCCATACAGGCAGCTTTTTAGTAAAAAAACGCCCCCCCTAGCCACAGTATACCAATGACCTCAGATACTAAAAAAAGAATCACCAAATAGGGCAGTGAATGAGCGATAGGTCGGAGCCACAGTGCCAAGCCCATGTGGCTGAGTTCCAGTCAGTTGGCCCAGTAACACATCTGCCAGTGGAGTTTCAATGGATTTCTTCTTTACAACAAACCGTGGCTCAACTGTTTCAGGGCATTCTTTCACAATATCATTGGGCTTTTTGTTTCCAAATTTGAAGAATCTGCAATTTCTTTTTCTACGGTACCCTGCATCTCTATACGGGACCTAATCAGCGTACATCCTGACATACATCCACAAGGCATTGTGGAGCAGCACAGACACATCTGATTCGCCCCCATCTCCACCCATCGTCGGGGATCAAAGGCGTCGTAAACAACAGAGGCAACCCGTATTTTCCACATTTTTTTAAATCGCTATTCTTCTTCACCTTCTGTGCTGTCGTGCGACAACCCCATATACCGTCTCCTCGTATCAAATCTCATTTGCGATCTTCCTTCATATCTGAAACCACGCCGAGACCTCGGATCCGTCAATCGGACTAGTGTTTCCTTTCGCTGACGCTTAATATCCCACTCGGCGCTCCTGGCGCAATCTCCAAGAAAACCCCTTACAAACTTGGGGCGGGATAATCTCGAACTCAATCCTGAGGCTCCTCCATTATGGCCTACAATCGTGTGGCCGCCGGTCAGTGCTCCTGCCTTATTGGACCCCCCCTCCATTTCGCTCCCTCTCTCTTTTCTTGCCTGCGCATTCTCCATCTCTCTGATATTGCTTAAATCAATGCTGGTCATTGATTCAATGATCTCTGTACAATCTGTGCCGTCAAGCTTTTGCCATTCAAGCATTGAGGAATCTTCTACGTCTCAACACTAACAATGCCTCGAACAGACCCGTTCGGAGATGAGCATACCTCGCCCATGCTGAATCCCTCTCATCTTACTGGCTACAGCAATCGCACACCTTCCCCTGGGCAACCACTGCAACATGGCTACCAGCTCTCGGACAACCCATATGGGCCTCAGTCGCATCTTCCCATGCCATCCAGTGATCGCTTGGCGGAACAACCTACCGTGAGTATTAGGAGATAGGAGCGAAATGTGCTGTGTACAAATCAACTCTGACAATCTACCTTGAAAACAGTACTCCGTCGAAAATGTTCATAACTCTTATGGCCATCACGACACCTACGACGCACACCATCCTTATGCTGGTCAAGAGTATGCGGTTGACCCTGAAGCCCATCATGACGCCTATTACACCCAACCCTACCAGCCTACACACACGCCACATGATGATTATGACCTAGGCCAGTACCCAGAGGCAGGACATACCCCATTTCAAGATGACCAGCCCATGCTGGAGACGGGTGAAAACCCCTTCGGGCCGGACCCGTATACTGAGTTCCAGGAAGAACCACACCCGACGCCCAGCCCGGCGCCTCTTCGTCGTTGGAAGACGGTGAAAGAAGTCCAACTTTTCAACGGCAACCTCGTCCTCGATTGCCCTATTGCGCCGAGACTGCTCAGCCAAGTACCCCACGCAGAGGCACCTGGTCGCGATGAATTCACGCACATGCGATATTCGGCAGCGACATGCGATCCCGCCGATTTCTTCGAAGAGCGATTTACCCTCCGTCAGAAGCTTTTCGCAAAGCCTCGCAATACTGAACTCTTCATCGTCGTGACCATGTACAATGAAGATGACTTCCTCTTCGCGCGCACCATGTCTGGTGTATTCAAGAACATTGATCACATGTGTTCGCGCACAAGCAGCAAAACATGGGGCAAGGATGCGTGGAAGAAGATTGTTGTCTGTATTATTAGCGACGGTCGTGCCAAGATCAACCCACGGACGCGCGCTGTGCTCGCAGGTCTGGGTGTGTACCAGGACGGAATTGCGAAGCAACAAGTCAACGGCAAGGACGTCACCGCCCATATCTACGAGTACACCACTCAAGTAGGGTTGGAGGTTAAGGGCACTCAAGTGCATCTCAAGCCTCGATCTGGACCTCCTGTGCAGCTGATTTTCTGTCTGAAGGAAAAGAATCAGAAGAAAATTAACTCTCATAGATGGTTCTTCCAGGCTTTCGGTCGTGTCTTGGATCCCAATATCTGTGTCCTCTTGGATGCGGGTACTAAACCGGGAAGAGACTCAATCTATCACCTCTGGAAGGCCTTCGATGTTGAGCCCATGTGCGGTGGTGCATGTGGTGAGATCAAGGTCATGTTGTCTCACGGCAAGAAATTGCTGAACCCGCTAGTGGCTGGTCAAAACTTTGAGTACAAGCTTAGTAACATTCTCGACAAACCGCTTGAGTCTTCATTCGGTTTCATTACTGTGCTACCGGGTGCGTTCTCCGCCTACCGGTTTGTCGCACTCCAAAACGATAAGAACGGCCAAGGTCCACTAGAGCGGTACTTCCTGGGTGAGAAGATGCACGGTGCCAATGCCGGTATCTTCACGGCCAACATGTATTTGGCTGAGGATCGAATCCTCTGTTTCGAGATTGTCTCCAAGCGGAAGTGCCGATGGCTCCTTCAGTACGTCAAGTCGTCGACTGGTGAAACTGATGTGCCTGATCAGATGGCCGAGTTCATTCTCCAGCGTCGTCGTTGGCTGAATGGAAGTTTCTTTGCTGCCGTTTACGCCATCACCCACTTCTACCAGATCTTCCGCAGTGACCACAGCTTCATTCGCAAGTTTATGCTCATGATTGAGTTCGTCTATCAGACAATTGCGATGATTTTCGCGTGGTTCGGAATTGTACGATTCTCTCCCATCCGCTATTCTTTTTCTTATATGTGCTAACTCCTTGTGCAGGGTAACTTCTTCTTGGTTTTCCACATCTTGACAACATACTTGGGGTCAGATGATCTACTGGGTACTGCTGGTAAGGTTTTGGGCATTGTCTTCGAATGGCTATACCTGGCAACTCTCGTTACGTGCTTCGTTTTAGCTCTTGGTAATCGACCTGGCGGATCCAACAAGTTCTATATGACTATGGTATATTTCTGGATTGTGATCATGATATACCTTGCATTCGCTGCTGTCTTCGTCACTGTCAAATCGATCCAAGCAGAAGTGGCCTCAGAAACCTTTTCGGTCAGCCAACTATTCACCAATAAGACGTTCTTTTCAATCATCGTCTCACTTGGATCGACCTATGTCATGTGGTTCGTCGCCTCGTTCATCTTCCTGGACCCATGGCACATGTTCACTAGTGTAAGTTATCCTATGGATCTAATTTTGTTGAGCCTTCTAACATTCTCCAGTTCATTCAATACATCTTGCTCACGCCGACGTACATCAACGTCCTCAATATCTACGCCTTCTGCAACACCCACGATATCACATGGGGTACCAAAGGAGATGATAAGGCCGAGAAGCTGCCTTCCGCGCACCTTAAGCCCGGCGGTAAGGTCGACGTCAACATCCCGCAAGATGACGGTGATCTTAACGCGCAGTATGAGGCTGAGTGTGCCAAGTTCGCCACGAAGGCCCCCAAGGAGGTCTCAAATGTTACTGAGGAAGAAAAGCAAGCCGACTACTACAAGGGATTCCGCAGTGCCGTCGTGCTCGCCTGGGTATTCTGCAACTTTGCTCTTGGTGCGGTTGTTCTGAGCGCTGCTGGTTTGGAAACTTTCGACGACGCATCCAAGACTAGTACCGAAACTGCGCAGAGCGAGCGCTCCATGATCTACATGGAGGTTGTTCTCTGGAGTGTTGCTGCTCTGTCAATGTTCAAGTTTATGGGTGCAATGTGGTATCTGGTTGTTCGTATGGTGAGTTATCCCCCTTGCACTAAGATTTTTGCCGATCACAATATACTAACATTGATTTTAGTTCCGCGGCGTTTGATTCAGTGAACTTTTAAGCATGATGAGTGTGTTTCTTTGCGTCATGCAGCAATGCTTTGTTTTCATATATCCCCTGATTTTATCCGGATTTGGATTCGGTTACAACACCACGGCGGGCCCGGTCTGGTACGCAAATGGAAATGGAAATGGAAATGGAAAATGTAATATGTTTGATGACTTGCCCGCGATATGCTTTCGTCCTTTGTGACACGCGGAATGACATGATATCGTGATTTATCTGGGTTTGTTCTTTGTTTTTTATCCCTCAACTTGGTCCATCCCTTGCATGTGCTTGCCTTTGCATCTATTTGGGCTCACGGGTTTTGTGTTTCTTACATGGTTGGGGATTTATGTACTCTATATGTAGATATGGACCTCGAGAAGTATTCACCATAGGAGCTGAGCAGTCAATATCCAGTTCTGCGGTTTCAAGTAGTGAGTGAATATAGTGACATACTTCTATTGGCTATAAAATTTCCTCGTAGGTTCCAACCAAGATACATCGCTTTGATGTCTAGCGTGTACAAAATATACCAAAACCATAAAAATCACCACCAACTCCCCAATCCAAATTGAATCAACTTCAAGAAGCCTGGTTCTTAGAATGCACACATAATGCAATCCCTCCAAGTACCAGCCCCATCCCCAACCATGTCTGCTTCGCAATCACCTTGCGATCAACATACCATTCCCCAAGAACAGTAAACAGGAACGCGCTCGAGTTTGCAAGCGGCACAGTCAAAGAGAGTTCTACACAGCGACTGGTTAGCAATTCCACACCTCAAAACCATCAAAACCACAACATCAGAAGCATACCATGTTTTCCAACAAGCAAAAAGAACCAAATACTGCCCGTGAGATTGATAATCAAGGGAATCGCATACGCAGGCGTGCGAAGCAGATTCACAACCGTCCAGAAAATAGACACAATCTTCGCCCGCAGCCATGAGTGCTTCGCGGGAGTTCCACGTCTCCACGCTGGCGAGGGTACATCATCCTGCTCCTCATCTGCGCCGTCTTCCCTGGCTTCTGTGGTATCATGACTGCTACTCTGTCCAGCAATTCCACCATCAAGTCCAGTATCAGCATCTGGAGCCTTCGATTTCCGGTTCACATCACTGCTGCTGGTACTCCGTCTCCGCACACCTTCCTCGTCACCGGAGTCAATGTCCCGAGAGAGCAATTCCTGCTCTTCTCCCGCATCCGTGAATCCGGTTTCTGGAGAGTCTTGCGAGTATGCTCTCCCGCGCCCTGAGTTCGATTCGTTTGCTTGTTTCTCTTGTCGGGCGTTGAAGTCTGCTGCTGCGCGGCGGATAAAGGGGGTTGTGAAGCCCCATGCGACGCCGACAAGTAGGAAGGAGAGCACATAGCTGAAGACGGAGGGTTCGGGTTCTCCGGGAATGCCGGTGTCTGGGTCCATGTTGGTGTTTGGGACCTGGGAGATTGTTGGTCGATTGGTTGGTTCGTTGCGTAGTGTTGCTGCGGCCCTGACGTTGCTGCATATGGGCCGTTGGTCTGTGCGTTTCTTATCAGATAAGGTTGTTCCGGCGATCCTTCCGAGGTTGGATCTATAAAATGGATCCAACGGTGGCAATGCTTTAACTTATTGACAGATCAAGGATTTGGAAGATTGGGGATTAAAAGAAAGATCAAAAAAGTAATGGGATATGTATTGTATATTTTACCAACAAGTCAAGTCCTCCTACAGGTCAATATCGATTGTCCTGGAATGAATACTTCTAGATCTCTGAGGCTTAAACAACGTTGGATGTAAGTAAACTGGCTGTAGTAAAATACGATAACATTGGATAAAAAGCGTAAAAGAATTGACTGTGCTTGCCTGTTAGGATTTCACACCGTGGAGGCTTCATTTACGTCCGAATGCGATGAAACAAACAGACAGAATCATCAGTTAATTGCCCCACAACCCACAAGGATACGGTACAAGAAAGTAATCAAGTACAAAATTTTGCTCTCAGTAGGTCAATTGCGAGCCTCCGATCAAGCTTGCCCGGCCGCCACAGAGGGTGTCGCCACGTCCGATGGATGTGAAACATCATCAAGACCGATTAATCACAGAGCGAACGGTGACCCACCACCCGCCTTCTCCCTCGATCCCACTTCACCAGAGTCCACAGCATCAGAAGATCAGATCCCTTATATCCGTTGCTTAAGCGAACGCCGAGGCTTGAGAAGACGAACGCCCACTGTGTCCGAGAAAAGAGTCCTGGTGTGCTTCATACATCTGATGTGCTCCAACGGTCGCCCGTACAGCATCCCCCTACTTCTCTCACCAGCAATATAAATTGTTCCTCTTTATGTATCCTCACTGGCATCTTGAACCGTGGCAACCCGCTGCCCATCCCCCTTCAGTGCCGCTCGTCACAGGTGAGTCTGCTGTCGAATGCCCCCGCCGGTTATCATCCATCGTTCCAGGTGAGTCTGGTGATGCCAATGTAAGGTAAAATCTGTTTGGGGAGAGGGAAAAGGGAAGGAGAAGAAAGTAAGAGAAGGAGGGTATATATATGCTAAGGGGAAATCACAACTTCTGAATTGGGAAGGCATCTCGACACCAAACGACACACAAAGAGGCATATTGAATATCTCAATTCCCTGCCATGCTTACTTTAACCCTTTTTGGTAACACTAGGTATCGTGGTTTTCATGTGAGCTATATAGCTTACTTGTTCATGACTTTATCTGGCTAAGTGCATTCCCCCGCACTCAAAGATCTACTTACATCGCAATTTACGCTGATCTCACATTCTCACTGAGGGCAGTTGACAAGTGGTCTGCTAGGCCTTTTATCTTGTGCTCTTGCCCCCGGACGAAACCAGCACTATTACCACTGCTTATTCACCGAGTGTTGATACACAAGAGGGCTTGCGTTGGGAAAATATTGTTCCCCATGACGAGGATTGAGTAAATTTGAAGTATGTATCATGATGCGATTGCTAGTCTAGGAGGATATATATAGTCTATGTATTAAAAAGCAATATGTTCTCTGTGCAGCGCAGCGCAAGAGACTCGAAGTAACAAAATATGAGAGAGATAAACAGCAAGTTCAGTGAGTGGCCCAAAGGGCATTGGAGAAAGGACAAAGGCCCCAAAGGGGCAAGCATAGGGGGGAAATGAAAAGGAAATATAGACAAAAAATGACAGATATTAGCAAGAGGGCAAAGCCAGAACTCAGTTGCCACCCTTCGACTTCTTCCCAGGAATGAGCTTCTTGATAGATTCCTTGAAATCAGCACTGTTCCAGCGCTTCACGCGAATCAGGTAGTACATGAGAGTAGCCACGAAAACATTGAAAAGAATGAAAGCCCACATGATACCGAAGTTGCGCCACCTATCGCCATAGTGGATACCGGCCGTGGCCAGGTACTGATCCGCAACGCGGAGAGAGCAGTAACTGCAGTCACTCGTGGCATTAGGATTGATCAGCTGACCGCCGGCGGCCTCGACATACTTCATGAGGTACTGTCCGCAAGTCTGGCCTGAGGGGGGTTGAAGATGGCTAGTTCGGATTTAGAGCAAATCACCTTGCGATTGTGAAGCTGTGCACCTGCCATGCCACCGATCCAGTATGTGAACGGGGAGACACGGTACATGAAAATCCAGAAGCCGGGAAGGGCACTCGGGGGCTGCATCACACCACAGAAAGTGAGGGACATCGCGAAGAGAAGAACGACTACCGCACTGGCGGTTTGTTCGTCTGGGAGACCAGCAATAACCATGTGGGTGAAGGTGCTGGCGTAGATGAAGAAGACAATGCAGAACAGGAGGACAATTCCCTGGGTTGCCGAGTCGGGGATTCCAACAACGGCATAGAAGTAAGAGGCGTAGGTCAAGATACCCATGATGATCATGTAGGGGAGCTCGACAATGATGTTTGCGACGAGGAAAGCTTTCCAGGAGTAGGATTTGCTGGGGCGTTCACGTCCTTCGTAGAGCGATCGCTGACTAACGAACACGGGCATGATCTGTTGTGCCAATGACGAGAAAATGGTGCAAATCATGAAGAGAGAGAAAATGACGGTCTGCATGCCTTGTAGCGACGTTTTGGCATCGAAGAAAGAGAAACCAATGAATAGGCCGGAAGCAATTCCAAGCCCCCATTTCGCTAGAACGTAGGATGGCATGCGCCAGTATTGTTGGAACACACGGTATGTGACCTGGTTCATCTGGAACCAGAACGGCATGGCGAATTCAGAGTAACTTCGCGAGGAATCATCATCATCAGCGGCGGGGGGTTCGTGTTCCTTTTCTTTGTGAATTCGGTCGATCTCAGTTTGAACCTGCTGGCTTTCGTTGCTTTGTTTCCAAACGTCGAACCAGTCTTGACCCTTGTTATTCTGACCAGCGTTGACGATGCCCAGCATGTATTCAGCTGGGTTTTCGCTATCCGCACACTTGCGCGCACCGTTGGATTCGAAGTACTCGAGCATTGTGCTAGAGTTCTCTCCGACCGGACCAAAGTAGACAGTCTTACCACCTCGGGCGAGGAATAGTAGCTGATCAAATTGTTGGAAGAGCATGGCACTGGGTTGATGGATTGTGCAAAGGACTGCTTGACCGTGCTGGGCAAGCTTGCGAAGGAATGAACAAATAGCCCAAGAGCTCTGAGAGTCGAGGCCACTAAGGGATAGTTAGTATTTGAAAGGCACGGATATCTTTTGTATAGGGTACTTGCCTGGTAGGCTCATCCAAGAAGAGTAGTAGCTTGGGCTTGGCAGCCAATTCGACGCCGATAGTCAACAGCTTGCGCTGCTCGACATTCAGGCCCTCACCAGGGACACCAACAATGGCTTCGGCAAACTCCTCCATCTTCAACATTCCGATCACATCCTCGACATAGGCGTACTTCTCCTTTACCGAGACGGAGGCTGGTTGACGCAACATAGCGCTGAATCGCAGAGACTCGCGAACAGTAGCAGTATCGAGGTGAAGATCCTGCTGCTGAACATAACCTGTCTTTCGCTGGAAACTCTGATCCAGTTCACGACCATTGACAAACATATCACCGGTGATGACACCCATCGATGTGCGGTGTGCCAATACATCAAGCAAAGTCGTCTTACCAGCGCCACTGACGCCCATAAGTGCAGTCAGAGTTCCAGGCTTGACCCATCCGGACACGTGATCTAATAGACGGCGTGGCTCGCCCTTGATCTCAATATCATAAGACACATCGCGCCAAGTGAACGTATCGGTTTGAGGCTGGATGGCACCCATTCCCGTGTCGTCTGTACCCGCAGCAGGCTGAGCTTTAGATGGCTCGCTGCTTTCGACATCGGCTCCAGACTTGTGGTCCTGGCGGAGACTGGCAGGCTCGTGACCACGACGGAAGACGAGAGCTTCGGCGGTGCTTGTAGTAGCGGAATTCAGCTCGGTTGCAACAAAGTAGATGCACATAAAACCGACCAAGAAGGCCAAGAGAATACCGAAGTTGCGCCAGACATGGCCGTAGGTGTAGGTGTAGGTCAGTTCAATGTACCGGTCACCGTTGACTGTTCTAGAGCCTGGCTCCGAACCAGCGACAGCGCAACTAAACGCTTTGCCTGACAGGTCGGCGTAGGCGGGAACAAAGGATGAGCAAGGGAACTCGCGGCCATGGAACTCGTTGGCAACCAGAATCTCGAAGGCATAGTAGATCGGATTGAGGTAATGAATCCATTCGAACCATGGATGCATAGAGGGAACAGGCAGGACAAAGCCGGTGTAGACAACGAGGACCAAAATCATGACACCTGCTAGACCCATTGCCTGTGAGATAGTTTTGGTGACAGCGGCCAATGTCCGGAAGATTGCACTCATGACAAACGTGATCACAAAAGTAATGAGGAAGTAGAGGAAGAAGTTGGATGCTGATCGTTTCAGGCCGGCCAGGAAGTATAGGATGATATTGAACACGACAGCCAATGCAAACTTCACCGGTATATCGCTGAGCACGCCAGCAATGGCTTCTGTGAAGGGATGATAAAAGGCAAAGGAAGCATGTTTTTCGACAATTGGGCGTTGAGAGTAGAGACTGTTGATTTCGGACATTGCCGTGAGGGCATTGAGAAGGACGGCAAAGAACAAAGTGGCACCTTTCGACGTAAAGCCTGCAGTTGCATCCGGAGTCCCGTAGAATACCGATCCGATGATCAGAGCCATGATAATATTAGTGACCACCACAGAGACGGTTGAGGCAGCGTCATTCCAGAGTCGTTGATAGGCGCGAATGGTGTTGAGTTTTATTTGCATAGGAACACTGATGATGTATGGAGACTTTGGCCGGGTGTGTTTTGCCTGGGCGCCACGCTTCCGTTCCTGGAAATCAGCGAGGGCTGGTACATTATTTCCAACGGGATTTTGCCCTTCATATTCAGCAATTTCATTCAACAATCGCTTGTATTCAGGCGACTTGAGCCATGCAGCCTCAAATTCCTGAGGCGTACGGGGAACACGGTTTTCCATGCCGGGCTTGGCTTGCCGCTCCTGAGGATTCGAGATTGAAGTGAGGAAATCTCCAGTGGTCTGTCGAGACGGGCAATCCCAGCCTTGGTTTTCGAAATAGGACTTGGCGGCAGCGGCAGGTCCGAAGAAGACCTGGTGGCCTTCGTAAAGTACAATCACCTTGTCAAATACATCGTAGATGCTTTGACTTGCCTGGTAAGCAGCGACCGCATGACACGAGCCAGTGATGTCGGAGGATAGTCGCAAAGCCTGGACAAACCTCAATGCTGTGGCAGAATCTAATCCTCGAGTAGAGTTATCCCAGGCAGCAATCGGAGCATGGGCTAGGGCCATCTCTGCAATACTGACACGCTTTCGCTCACCACCCGAAACACCACGGATGAAATCGTCTCCAACGCGCGTGTTATACGTGTGACTCAGTCCAAAGACAGCCATGATGATCTGAGCCATGTATTTGGCAAATTCTGCGCGGGACATGCCTTGGAATCGATGGGCAGGAGTTCGCGTTGCAGCTGCAAACTCCAGAGTCTGGCCGACGGTCAGATGAGGGAAGTGTCTGTCCACCTGTACAATTCAAAAGGATTAGCATAGCTTCATTGGCGTCGATGTTGGGACCGTACCTCTTGGTTGTATACTAGTTCGCCCTTGAACTCTTTCATCATGCGGGGTTGGGGAATTCCTAGTGATCGTTAGCTCTATTCTAGAATTTTGGAGCTCGAGTCTTACCATTGTAATGGATGACGCTCTCCTTATCCATATCCAAACCGTGGAGCTCTCCAGTCATGGACTTCAAGAGCGTACTACAGCCGGCACCTGGCCGACCAAGCACAAGCAACAGCTCACCACTTTTCAAGAGACCGTTGAAGTCCTTGAGGATTCGCCTTGGGGGAGAGCGTGATTCACGAATGATTTGGGGCACCCGAACGAGGGCAGTTAGGGTCGATGTGACTGTATTTTGGTACTGCAGCGCAGCACCCGATCCGTATATATTCAGTTTTTTAAAAATAACGTCCGATGAGTGTCCCGCTCGGCCATCTCGGCTAATATCGGTGAAAGCCAGTTTGAGCCATTTTTGCAAGTCGAACTTGCCAGACTGAGGATCGAGAGCTGGATCTTGTTCAGCGAGGACTGTTAGGTTTGTTCCGGCAGTCGATTGTTGGCGTGACCGTTGAGTTGCTATTTTGGTAAGGGTCTCAACATCGTCCTGTTCGATGAATGCCATGGGAGAGTCGCCAAGAGTTGATGCATCTCCAGTATGAGGTGGAGTTGGATCAAGCATCTCCCTTAGCTCGATCGAGCTATCTGATGCCGATGCCATGCTGAAATATAACGAGCACAGTATTAGAACAGAACCAAATTATAGAAACTCATAAGAAGGGGGAGTTTCAGATATTTAAAGAGTCGGGGGTTTGTGGCCATTTCCGGCCGTTGTGGATGACATCTTCCATTGTAATGGAACTGTGGGTCATGGGAGTCGGAGGTCGGAGCAATTTGAAAATAATAGTAAATAATAGTGGAGAGGAAGGAACCCTGCCATAATCCTTGCACTATGATTCGGTAGATCTGAAGATCAAGTTGGTCACCAAGGTTGAAACAAGGAGGCAAATCCATACATAAAACATAAAAGTACCAAGTTCCAAGGTTCTTTATGCTAAGTCAGCGGGTCTTCCTGGAATCCCGACGGTAAATGGAGGTCCCGAGCCATGTGCTGGCTCCGGCCCCCGGTATATACACTACCCGATCGGCATAACATACATAAAATCGGATTAAAATGTAACCGAACCTTTATTTTTTTAATGAACTGAAAATCTGTGGAGAACCGCCACACCTTTTGAAGATTCTACCAGGATCTCTATACATTGCCACCATGAACTTCGGAACGGCTATAACGCACCCCGATATGCCGGATCTTCAGTGGCTTGGCCGCTTTGGTCGCTTCGCCGTTATCTTTGGCCCTGTGGGGCGCGATTTACTTCTTTAGCCCCTGCCCCTATTTCTTGGGCTTTCCACAAAATAGCGTTATAGATTGATCTTGACGCTACGGTCCGAGGATCCTCAATAGACGGTCTGGACCATTAGGTGACTATTCAGTCTTAGTCTCGCAAATAACACAAGGGTCCACGGGTCACTTTCATAAGTTATGTCCATTATTAGAGACTCAAATTCAAGATTTCCAAGGCCTTTGAACATAGCCTTTAAAATCATACAGCCTATGATCACATGCTATCACATGCTATCACATGCTGTGTGGGGCTTTCTATATTTACTCCCAGTTATCCCCCCCACTTCTCCCAAGGTTCTCTTCTCCCTTGAGTATTTTGAATAGCGCTATTTGTTTAAGTTGGGAACAATGTCTCCAGAAAAGGAGTTGACAAATGTCTGTTAGGCGCAAGGTATGAAAGTATTGGAGTTGCAAAAGGCAACTTGGCAATATCCAAATTAAGGATCGATGTCACAATTCGATAGGCTTTCTATTGGCAGTCTGGTGTGTGTGGGGCAGCTATGGCAAAGTTCGACATGGAATGTGCCCAAGTTGCGTGGTGTGACCGGCCATGTAGTCGATTGATGCTGTCAAGATCGACTTGGCTAGAAATATAGGTGCTAGACAGGATACTACAGGAAGAAATGCGTGGGCTCAGTGGAGCTGCTGAAGGAAGACTTGATGAGAATGAGGATAAGGAGGAAGGTATGGCACCATCAACAGTTGTACCGGAAGGTTGTTAAGGGCATGGTAACCCCGAGGTCATGGTGAACAGTTGCTATGGCCACATGAAAGTTTGTTATGGAAGATTGTCACTATAAAAGATTGCCATAGTGGAAGGTTCCAAGTCATGGTGGATAACGCACTTCCCGAATGGGAAGGTAGGGCTAACCTGCAAATATGTGAGGACCTCGAGGGATGCAATCGCGTTCCAACTTTGAAGATCCCTTATTGAGAGATTCTACCAAATCATCTGCATTGGGCACATACTCTTCTATCAAACCTTTCATCCGACAGGTGACAGCCGAAGTTGCACTCGCGATGACTACCAGCAGACTGTGGTCTTTTTGGGGCAGCCAATGAACAAAGACGACGATTCTTTGTATCATGTCAAATCCATTATCTACACCTCAAGACCGGTGTGTCTCTTACGGGGTAGGCTGCTTGGACTTTGGTAGTTCAGGCCTTGCCATGAGACATTATCTCAATAGAGACAACATATTCTCTATTCGATACATGTGTTCTTGCAATAATCTTTTTCCGATTTTCAAAATCAGTCCCCATTCCTCACAAAATACACATTATCTACCCGCTGGAGTCTTTGCCATTGAGATATAGAGAAATTCAGCCCTCCTGGTCGTTGCTACCAGACAACATTTCCAGGGCGAAATTGAGGCACCAAAGCATAGAAAGAGCACACACTAATTTATTTTGAGATGCTTTTAGACAGGGATTCTCGGCGTAAGTAATTTAATATTGACAACACATCTAAATTAACAGGGTATCTAAATTCCAAGGTTGAATAAGGATTCTCGACGCATACGACATCAGCGGGGGCGGATCGCCCGGGCTCCGATCCGAATGAACGCAGCCCCTCTAGGACTCTCTTCCTCTTCAACTCAAGAATTATCCCACCATGGCTATTCAGTCATTGCGCGAAATAAACGCTCATAATCTACGTACCTTCAAGCGCCACTATGTCTCGGAGATCTCAGGTTCGCTTGGCGATCTAGGCACGTTCCTGCCTATAGCGATTGCGCTAGCTGTCAACGGCACCGTCTCCCTCGCTAGCACCTTGATCTTCTCGGGAATCTTCAATATTCTAACGGGTGTGTTCTTCGGTATTCCGCTGCCAGTTCAGCCGATGAAGGCCATCGCCGCAGTTGCCATCGCGCGTAGTTTCTCAAATGGCACGATCGCTGCGGCGGGGATCTTCGTCGGCGCCTGTATCCTTGTCTTCAGCTTGACAGGGATCCTGCACTGGTTCGCCAGTGTAATTCCCATCCCAGTTATCAAGGGTATTCAAGTTGGGGCGGGATTATCCCTGATCATCGCAGCCTGCAGCACCATGCTCCATCCCTTGGGCTGGATCAGCCCGTCCTGGGCCGATAACCGTATTTGGGCAGTTGCTGCATTTGTTGTGCTTCTGCTCACCAATATTTATCGCCGAGTACCCTATGCGATCGCTGCATTAGCGCTGGGCTTGCTCTTTGCTATTATTCGGACTGCACTGGCGGGGCATATGCCCAGTTTCGAGGTGTGGCATCCTTTCGCTCTAGTTCCGACCCCGCTTCAATGGCGCGTCGGTGCTGTGGATGCTGGTATTGGTCAAATTCCTCTTACCACCCTCAACTCCATCGTGGCGGTTGTCCACTTGGCGCATGATCTGCTCCCGAAGGTCCGCACTCCATCCATCACCCACATCGGGCTGAGTGTGGCCGGCATGAACTTAATTGGTTGCTGGTTCGGCGCTATGCCCGTCTGCCATGGATCTGGTGGTCTTGCCGCGCAGTATCGGTTCGGAGCTCGCTCGGGAGCAAGTGTCATCTTCCTCGGCCTATTGAAACTGCTTATCGGCCTTCTCTTCGGAGAGACCTTGGTTGACCTTCTGAGGCAGTTCCCTGCTGCCTTACTCGGTGTGATGGTTATTGCAGCTGGCGCGGAGCTGCTTAGCGTGGGCGAGAGCCTCAACACCACTGGTGCCCAGGACCTCAGCCAGGCCGGTCCTGGCCTTTTGTCAAATACGGGGCAGCACATTGGCCCTGTTCTCACGGATGAAGAACGCAGTCGCCGCTGGACTGTCATGATGGTCACTGTGGGATTGCTGGTAGGGTTCAAAAATGACGCTGTCGGCTTTATTGCTGGTATGCTTTGCCACTGGTCGTATGAGATCCCGGAATGGTGGGAGAAGGCGCGTAGCCGCTGGTCAGAGGGACGTTTACGTCTACGTGACTAGATATACATACATTGGGAAAGTTTGTATTTACAATCTTCTGATATCCCTCATATATGCATGAAGAACTCACCAGATATATCATTTTTGTTTTTATATATTGTAAGAAGCAAGTGCAGATACTTACCATAAGCAAATTCAAAAACTTGCCTGTCCACTCACTCTAAAGTATATTCCTAAAATCCACGTCACTTTCTCTCCGCAGCCTGGTGCCTGTACTAGGATTCTCATACGTGCGGTTCTCCCTCGCCGAAGACGAGAGGCCGTCCGCAGCGAAATCCACATCCCGTCCGAGCCTCCGGCCACCAACATCCCTCATATCCTTGTGACGCCTGGTTACTCCACCGATATCATACTCAGATTGGTCGTTATAAGTGCCGGTCACGGGGTCATAAACCCTAGACCCCAGCGGCGAAGAAGCCAAATTAAACGAATCGTCCTCCCCGTCCCCATCCAATAGCTGAGCCGCCGCACCCCCAATATCAGCAAGGACATTGGGCGTGGAAGTTTGGGGTGGGGAATTTTTGGAATCTGAAACATCATCCTCTAGGTCGGTGATGCGTCGTACTCCACCTGCAGATGTACCATCTACCGGCTCTGGTAAAGCCAGCTGTTCCTGTCCTGTGTTGTCGTAGCGCCGCTCTTCAACGACTGCTGGTTGACCTAAATCTTGCTGGGCGGTACGTACGATTGTTGTGCCGTCGGGTTCGGTGTATGAAGTTGTTGAATACCTGTGTCCGGTTGTAGTCTTGCCGTCGCTGCCGTTGGTTGTGGAACTGTAGTAGTACGAGGAACTTGTGAAAGAGTCGGACATCGTGGTGAACGGTCGCGCTCGGTGGGATATGGGAGAGGAAAATATTGATCTGGTCCACTTGGAGTGATTTGCAGTTGAGTTTGTTCAATTGGGTAGATGGAAGGTTGATACTAAACCTTGGGAGGATTCTTTAATGTTGGTATGCTTGTAGAAGCGTCTTTGTATGAAATGTTGGCATCGGTGTTCAAGTTGTCTTGAATGCTTTCGAACTTCAACATGCTCAATTTTGATATGTTTATATAGTTCGTTCCTCTTGTCTTAGTGGCAAGCTTTACTTGCCGCTTGCATCATTGCCTCCTGCGGCAACTAACCTCTATGGAAGAGGCAACAACCCATCGGTGTCGCCAAGGGGTTTGGAGATACCCCACGTGAACCGGGGGAAACAGAGCATATATTGAACGTGTAGGCGTTGTCCATAGATGCTGCGTGCACGGACGAAGCCCCAGATAAGGCACTGGACATATCGAAATCGCTTATCACCTGTACCTCCCGAGGTCTCCCCGCTTTTCAACAAACCAACTCATCTCCAACTCTGGGACATAAAGCAAATGGCTGGACTTACCGAAGCTCAAGTCGCCTCCTTCAAGGAGAACGGGTACCTCGTTCTCCCCGACTACCTCACCCCAACCGAGGTCACCGCTCTCCTCGCCGAAACAAACAAACTCCTCGAGGAGTTCCCACTAGAATCCCACCCCCTCACCCAGTTCACGACGGGCGATGAAACCGCCGACCATGTAGGCGACGACTACTTCCTGAACTCCGGCGACAAGATCCGCTTCTTTTTCGAGCCAGATGCGTTCAGCACCGAGCCCGATCCCTTGACCGGTCGAGCCGCGCTACTGAAGCCCAAGAACCGCGCCGTCAACAAGATCGGTCATTCGCTGCATACCTTGTCGCCACCCTTCAAGGCCATATCACTAAACGAGCGGAACGCCGCTGTCGCGCAGTCCCTGGGCTTTGCCGATCCCCGCGTGCTGCAGAGTATGGTTATCTGCAAGCAGCCTTCGATTGGTGGGGCTGTGCCATCCCATCGTGATTCGGAGTTTTTGTATACAAATCCACCTTCTGCCGTAGGCTGGTGGTATGCGCTGCAGGATGCGGGTCCGGCGAATGGGACGCTGGGTATGTACAAGGGGTCGCATACGGGAAGTAAGGGAGGTCACATTACCAGAAGGTTTGTGAGGAAGGAGAATGGAACGGGGACGGAGTTTATTGAGAATCGGGGGCCTTCGCTCCCCAAAAGTATGGAGGAGGAGAAGAGTTCGGAGACTACCGATGAGGATCTAGAGATTCTTGATATCAAGGCTGGATCGCTTGTGCTCATTCATGGGAATGTTTTGCATAAGAGCGAGAAGAATACTAGCCTGAATAGTCGGTATGCCTATACCTTCCATGTTATTGAGGGCGCAGAGGGGTGGGAGTATGATGAGCGGAATTGGTTGCAGCCGCCTGCTCATGGGTTCTCAAAGTTGAATACTTGATAGACAGGTAGAATACGAATGAATGATGTTACGGTCATTGATGGTAAATAGTTTGACTTTTATTCTTTATGCAAATCCTGTACAAAAGATGGCCCGCCATATACACCGAGTGTGCGAATCCCAGACACCCCAAACTCCAAGTTGCGATTCAAGGCTGTCAGATCAGGTTGCCTTCAACATGTCAAGCATTCCCTTTGTTTGCCACGCTTGTTGGGCCATCTCCACTTCATCGCGAACCCGGCGGTGCAGGCGCTCCACCATCTTGTCGACCTGTGCGGACTGGCCCAGATTTCCAGAATAGATATCGAGAAGGTTCATGGCAACCTCGACGCTGAGATCAACCAGGCGGGGTTCACGGATGTTCTTGTGAACCCACTGCAGGACGGGCTGGAGGGTGACCTCATCGCGGTCCTTCAGCGAGGCGCGGAGGGCGGAGCGGTGACGCAGGGCCGTAAACAGTGTAAGTTGTGCAGTCTTGTCGGCCGAGGTGAGGACCTGGTCCAACGCAACGGCATAGCGTGCCTTACGGAGATCGTTTTCCCAAGGCTGCTCTCTCTTCCGCTTCTTGTGGTCCTGGCCCTGAATGACAATCTCCACACCTTCTCCAATGAAATCGCGTCCACGCAGACGCTTTTCCCATCCAGACCCACGGGTCTTCTTCTTCTTAGCGACTTCCCGGTCGTGCTCCTCCAATTTGCCCTCCAGCAGGGCTGCCATTTCCTTCCGGCGTTCCCGCTCCTTGATCTTCTGTTGGCCAGATAGTCGGGTCTTGATAGAAAGGAGACCTGACTGCATACCGACAGCAATGTGCTTATCCTCATATTCGGTTCCGGAAGTAATCGCGTGCAGAGAGAGAATGGGCGACGGGTATTTGGATCCAGAGACGGGGTTCCACCCTGTGGTCTCAAAGACCTTCATGTGTCCATCAAGTGCACCACTGAGCAATCGTTCACCATTGGAGGCCAGCGCAAGGGCAGTGACAGTCTTTTGATGGCTTTGGATCATGTGCAGCGGCTTACCAGCCACAATGTCTAGCACGGCAATCTTGTTGTCGGCCGCGGCGAGAAGTGTAGTTCCGGCGGGCATGGGCAGAATGGTCTCGATGGGCGCACCCATCTTGAACGTCATAGCGGCACGGTTTCCAACTCGAGGATCCCACAGTCGAACGGTACGATCGTAAGAGCCCGAAACCACCAGACCAGAAGAAGCCATGGAGCCAGGCATGAATGCACCGCTACGCACATAATCGGTGTGGCCGACAAAGGTGCGCGCACTAGTTTGCGAGGCCAAGTCCCACAATCGCACTGTACGGTCATCACTGGCCGTGAGGACTGCGGTAGGGTCGCTGGGAGAGAACTTGGTCACCCACACGGGCAACTTGTGGTCCTTCCATGTCTTGAGGATGGCGCGCGACTTGACATCGAAAACTTGCACGGAACCGGTGTCGTCACCTGCCACCAAGACACGTCCGTCCGCGCGAACGTCAGTACCACGCACGGTATCATCGAACCGTGTGAGTGTTCGCAGAAGTTTCCGTGTGCGAATCGAATAGATCTGGACTCGTGCGCCTGTTGTCACGGTGAAGACATCGGGCGGTTGTGTAAGAGATGGAAATGCCGCGGCAGAAGAAGGAACGGAAGGCTGAGTGATGAGGTTGACCGGTCCATTGGCCGGCGACGGGATCAGGAGCGGGTTTTTGAATGTCCGCCAGTATTGTTGCTCAGGCGTTAACTGCGTCGAGGGTAACGAGGCGAGCTTGACCTGCTGCAGAGGCAGGACGGGCGCCGCCATGGTTGCAGTGGTGAATAAACAGTAATTGTTCGGGGGATATTAGTTGGATAGACAACCCGGAATGAGCAATGGTTGGTAAAGTTAAGCCGACTAGAGTGCTATCGTGAAGTTCATGAAGACCATCTTTTTTCTGCCGATCAAAAAAGTTCGTCTCGCCCAATCGGGAATGGTGGCGGTAGCTGTTGGTGCCTGGGGCATCGAGTGCTGGGTTTACGCCTGAGGCAACAAGGCAAAAACCTAGGTCTTGGCATATCCACCCCGTGATGGTCAGGGCTTCATTCTTGACTTGTGCATCCCGTACTCCGTACAGGGCTATGCGGCAGGCTGACAACATAGAGAGCCTAGACCGGATCCACATTAGATGGGTCTAATGTAATAAAGAAATGTACAAGATACCTCTAGGCTGATACTTTCAGATCCTCGAATTAAGTTCTCTACCTCGGAATTCCACGAGGTTACAAATACCATACCCTGGGCCACCTTTCCTCGGTAGACAATCTGCATAATATTCCCAATTATTGACAGGTGACAGCTTTCATTCTCGGGTAATCTATCCTGTACGAGAGTATCGATGCTGGCTCGTATATGTCAACTCCATCATGGCCGATCAACCTCGAGAGATCTTCCTTCCAGTAAGCCTAATATTTTCCATCAATTGAACGCAAAGACAAAACTGAAATTCGACGGGTCTACATTGTACTCCGTACATCGTAGGCTTCCACATTTTGACCATTCGTGATGTTAATAATAGTAACTTGCGGGGATTGCCCAGTGAACCCACCGAGGCAGTGAGGCAGGCAACATCGTTAATCGTCAAAGTATCTGAAATCAGTAGGGGATGATGTGTGCAGAGCAGGCGAACAAGACAGTCTCAGTAATATTGCCAATGTATGACATGCAGTACCAAAACAAAAGGTACCTAGATTACACACGTTACTCCGTACACACAGGATCATTAGGCCTGTGAGTGGTCGCTATGGCAATTCAGTGGGGGAAAATAAAGATCCATCGTGGTGCAGCTCCCTAACCCTAAAGGTGGGGGAGCCGCGATGGCTTGACAGCTTATTGAAGCCCCAATGCAGCTGAAACCGGATTCACAAACACGAGTACGGAGGATAGAGGGATGACGATCTTGTCTGGACTGCCAGTGGTTGGCAGTTTATGCTTGTCCCACCAGGAATGCGCAAGTCTCTGAATACGCGGTGGCTGGGGATCCGATCGAGCTGAGGGCGATCCACTGCATGTGGAATACCTGACTGGGGTTGGATGAAGAGGGTTTGACGAGGATTTGAATGGCATCATGTAATATATTGCAATATAACCTTGGAAATGAGTATATTAATATGAAAATATAGCTAGGTGTACGGAGTAGATGAGTATGGAGTCTGTAGAGTTCCAAGTTTCAACTTGTTTATTCCGATGATGCAAGGGTTCATGTATCCCATGGTATGGTAAATCGGCCCCAGACACCGCCAGGGGTAACAACCAATCAACACCCAAGATCTGATACAAAGCCCCAGCCACCTCCAATACACTTCTAAGACTTCCTTATCTTTTTGCTTTTCTTCTTTCTCTCTCCCACTTAGCTCAATGGTAGTTTCTGTTCATATCTATACCTGGTGATCAAAATGTCGAAGATCTCCAAGGTTAACCATGCGGCGGGCATCTTCGCTGACATCTCCGTCGATGGCCCCATTATCGGTACCTTGGTCGCTATCATCGACCGAGCCAAGAACCTACCCAACCGGAAGACTATGGGCAAGCAAAATCCCTATGCTGCAGCACGATTGGGCAAGGAAGCAAAGAAGACTCAAACGGACTTGCGAGGAGGACAAACACCCCGATGGTAAGCTTTTTCGCCTAATAGATGTGTAAATGGAAGCTTACTTGTCTAGGGACTCGGAACTCCGATTTACCGTACATGAATCCCCCGATTACTTCAAGCTAAAGGTCTCCGTATTCAATGACGATAAGAAGACCGACATGATCGGCGAGACCTGGGTCGATTTACAAAGCTTGATCATTCCGGGTGGAAGTCAGAATGATCACTGGCACCCGCTTCAATGGCGTGGGAAATATGCAGGAGAGATCCGAATCGAAATGACCTACTATGACACCAGAGAACAAGATGAGGTCCTGATTGGACGCCGACAAGAAGCCGCTGACCGAGTGCAAGGTAAAGCCCCTAGTACTCCAATCAGTACGGGCTTGTCTGGTCCCCGGCAATTGAAAGATGTCAAGCGACGACCCTTGCCCAGTGGCCCTGCAGGGGCCCCGGCAAGACCAGCTCCTCCAGAACAATCTCACTCTGCGCCTCCAATTCAACACCCGGTCCCGTCGAGACCCGCCATTCCGGAACATTCAAACACCATATCTGGTGCGCCAGACACCATCTCTCATGCCCCGCGACATTCAGAACCTGCTTACGATACGTCAGCTTATCGCGCACCTTCTCCTGTGCCGCCTGCCTCGCGGGGCGGGTATGACGGTACCGATAACTACACTCAAGAATGGGACATCCCAGCTGTTGCTCCTCTCCGCAGACAAATCACCCATGAACTGCCCTCCAATGAAGTTGTTGAAACTTCCTTTGATTCGCGTTTATTGCAACAGCAGCAGCAACATCTACAACAACAACAACAACAAGAGCTACAGCAACAAGAGCTACGGCAACAAGAGCTACGGCAACAAGAGCTACATCAACAAGAGCAGCTACGGCAACAAGAGCAGCTACGGCAACAAGAGCAGCTACGGCAACAAGAGCAGCTACGGCAACAAGAGCTACGGCAACAAGAGCTACAGCAAAAAGAGCAGCTACGGCAACAAGAGCTACGGCAAGAAGAGCTACGACAACAAGAGTTACAACAGCAAGAGCTACAACAACACGAGCTGCAACAACAGCGACTGCAACAACTACAGCTGCAGCAGCAGCAACTGCGGAACCATCCCGAGTATGACCAGCCATCTTCGAGAGACTATCGCCTCGCCAGGCAAGACCATTACGAGGCAGATCCCCATGAGGAAGCGCCATACCATTCCATACATCCAGATCTCTATGCTCAGATAGAGCAGCCACGATACAATCTGGACGCTATGTCATATGGGCCAACGCACGCACATGAGTTGCCAGCTTCAGACTTTATACCTTCCTCTATAGGGCCAGTGGATGACCCGAGGTACCATCCTCACAGAGTTCGACCTCTACAAATCACTGCTCGAGGTCATGATTACCACCCAGAGTATGCCGGAATGCAACCACGAGTAGAGGATGAAGATGATGGTGGGCCCCCACCTCCTCCACCGGTACACCGGTCACGAAGGGCGCACTCTCAACTCCCCACCCCGAAAACATCGCCTCGCCCCTATGCACCCTACACACCCCAATCTTCTTCTCGATCCTCGGTCCCCCATCTGCCATCGACCATGTCCACCCCGTCTCACCGTGGTCGCTATCAGGACCCTTCTTCGATGGGAAATTCCCCAGCCATGCCCGCAAGCCTCGTCGCAGGTTATGAACCGGAAGACTCGTCTGAGAGAGCAGCACTCGAACGATCAACCCGCAGACGTAGCACCCAATGGGATGATGAGATGATGATTTCCGAACCACCTGCACCGATCCCTGTGTCAGCACCCGTCCACTACGATACTCCTGTCTACCCTCTGCGAACATCCCCCCGACCTATTGAACAAAGACCCACTTCTAGCAGAGGTGGATCTGTGAGCCCTGGTGTGCAGGCTGTAACCCGGAAATCAGTCAGTCCACGGCCCTCTTCTTCAGACGTCCGTGAGGGTTCTTCAATCCCTTTCTCTCCCGACTCCTACATCTCTCTAAACCCGAATGCGTCGCACCCCCCTAGCCGAGATCCTTCCCCGGCATACGACTCGCCTTCGCAAGCTAGAGATGCCGTGATACGTGGAAAGACTGAACCCCATCGAGACATGGATCATCCAATCATCGGGGATGATGGTCGTGAGATTGACCCTTCTGACCATCTTCCCACCGATACATGGGCGCCCGAACCAGAACGCAAGAACCGTAAGCCCGAAGTTATCATCCGCTTCAAACACTCGCCTCGGCCAACTTCTAGAGGCAACGACTCTCCTTCATCACGCAGCACAGGCCCTCCTCGTGTAGGATTCAGAGCAGAGACCACTACCTATCCATCGGATCGCCCAATCAAGTACACACCCACCCATGTGAACGCAAGTCCGGGGTCAATGGTTCGAACCTCGCCTCGGCCGGACTACGCGCGTGAGCGCCCTGACAGCTATGTGCAACCTCGGGGTTACAGCACACCCACTTCGGCTGAGCGGCCGCGCTCTTCCCGAGGCTCAGTCTCGCCATCGCCGGGGTCTCGTACGCCACTGTATGACTATAGCCCAGGTCCCCCGATTCCAAACAAGGTGCCAATCAGCGGAGGAAGCCCAGGCTACCCCGTTATGTCTGGCAATCCAAATGGAAACGTTCGCATGGATGCCTTGAGTCGAGAATTGAGTACGATTGACATTGGCTCTACGGCGTGTAGCCCTGGCCGGGCTGTTCGAAAGTACGTACCAAGACAGCCGGCGTCGATTGGCTACGCTAGATAAAACGAATTCTTTCTTGCACTTATGGATGACTTATGTACTGTTTTTATATTGGGTTCTGGGCATATGTCCCCGGTTTTCTTCAATTTTGGTTTTCAGACTGCATTACTCTTGATATCCGGCAAATATGGCGTTATGGAATTGATTTATGGGGGGTATAGTTTTTGATGTACGCATAACACGAATAACCAATGATACCTCAAAAGTGACACCTTGATTCCTACTAGCTGCTTCTGTAGACTTGAGACTATGTTTGACAAGTTCATTGATGTAGTTGCTCGGTAGTCTGACAGTAGTCCTCAGCATTGCCTATAAAGTGTTCCTGATAGCCCGCTTCCTCCAGTAAGTTTTATTCCTACCCTGCCAATGGCCGTCCTTCACACCATGTGGTCGTATATGGGGATACTACGCTCAGGCTATGAGCCATCCTAGTTACGTTTACACTCTTCTAGGATCTAATGATCCTTACTGAATTTGAAGCCCAATGTTCTGTCATGTGTCCGTGTGAGTTCATAGATATAAGTACCACCATTATACTCAAGAAATCGGTTCTCGAGACCCGGCTATTCCAGATCATCTGGTTACCAAGTAAGAGCACACAAGATGCGCAAACCCACGCTGTAGACACTGGGAAGATGACCCAACAAAGGGGGAAAGTCATCTGAATTCGATCCAGCACAAACATTGTAGGCAATTTCCTGCAAACTTATAAAAGCCCATCCTATTCTAGTACTGCTCCTCCTCCTGTATCCTATCCTCGCACTGTTTTCGTTTCCATTCTTGCCCAACACCTGAAGCCTTTCAAACTATCAGACAGCTCGTGCATCATCGACAACGGACTTTGCCATCAGAATTCATCACGTCCGTTATCAAAACGCACTCTCCTATCTTCCATTATCCTTGCATTGTCTCACTTTATCACTCCCAGCATGCCTTATCAGGGCCTTGATGCCCAAGGCGATCGGGGCCACCTCGATGAGGACGCGAAAATGTGTGTATATATAACTCGGCATTATAAGTCGAAGTTATTGCTCATTCCCCAGTGACTTGCTGATGCGCAAGTCTGCGTTTATCTTGGGATCAAATTTACTAACTTACAGAGTTTAGGCCTAGCAACACTGCCCATGAGAACCGACATCTTTCGACGTAAGTATATGATATATCTCCTGGCATCGCTATTTTCCAACTACCCAAGCCTAATATATCTGGCATCCTACCTTTCATTTCGGCCTTTCACTATTCGTTTACCTCCCCGTTACTTGTTCACTATCTATGAACTGTGCTCCGTGATACCAGCTCGTCTTACGTGTCAAGAGCATCATGTTTTGTGAGGAATGTCAGCTAATTGAAATATCAGGCCCAGAAGCTCCGCTCGAACAATCCACCAGGGAAACCAACCCTTGTCCCTACTTCTCTCTCCTCCACTTACTTCGCCACTGATACCTCTGGGAGGAACAATCGATTCCACCCCTCCACTTATTCCTCTCCACCAATACAGCCCATCCCAACCACTGGGGCCCGGTTTCACCAGCACAAATGCATCACATTCTGCTTATGACCCCAGCCGGGGGGCACAGCTCAGGAGTGCCGCTGACCGTGCAAATCCGTACCGAGATAGACTTGAACAAGCTGACCCTGCACGAGGGCAAGAACGGGCTCGCAGTAGAAGTCCTCGCCGCCTGGTTCAACCCGCTGGCCTTTCTGAATCCCGGGAACTACCAAAAGGTCCATTTATGGGATTCAATCAATACCCTCGGGAGATGTATGTTCCACCCGGAATCAATGACCTGATGCCTCGATATCTGCCTAGCTCCTCCCCGATACAATCTCCAAGCAACACCAAGCGTGGTCATGGCCGTGCTCCTCCTATAGACCATCCATGGGACTCCCCCGGAGAGATTTACTCGCCCAATGACGGGAACTTGTATGAATACCCCCACGATCAACAGCAACCAGTGCAGGGGGGTGACCCGGGACCTCTAAGACACCAGTCTAACAAGCCAGAGGTGGATACCAACGACAATGACGAGGAGCATTTATGCGAATTCGCTGCCCCATGCCGAATGCATCCCTCGCCCGATGGAATGCACTACCGAAAGGTTGTGTCGCACGTGTTTGGCAGAAACAAGGCCGTTACCAAGCTTTTCCCACTAGGTGTCTGGGTTCATTATTGCCGAAAACACTACCAGCGTGCCCGGTATCGCGCAGACCAATGGCCGTTTACGCAGTGCGATCTCCTGTTAGAATCACTGAGCCGTATGGAGAATTGGGATGGAGTGGAGAGTTTCGAACTCATCCTCCGCCGCCGAGAGCAAATGCGTGTCGGGCGTGAAACCGAAAACCAAGCCACCACCGAGACATCCAATCAGAACGAGACTACTTCTGCTAGCCAGGACCAGGATCAAGACCACAAGTCTTCAGGTGTCGTCACTCGGTCTCCGAGCCGTAAGCATCCAACTGCCATCATCGCCCCTGTCCCAGACTGGCTGCGCCAATACGTTGGTCACGGCAAGACATTCCAGGAGATCCGCCAGATTATCGAACTGGTACGTAGCCACATGGTGAGGCTCCGAAATCTGGAAAGAGCGAAGCAACAGCTCAGTCATATTCCCAAGTCCCTGGGTGCACCAGGAAGCCCTCGTCGAGGTGCGCTTACAAACGGCCGAAAGGGACGTATCGCCAAACCAACCAATCGGGACCCCTTACGCCTGCGTGCTAGCACTATTCGTTTCCCCGATGTTGAAATCCTCCCCCATTTCAAGCCATGGGTAAAGGAGGCTGCTCTGCGGCAGCGATCTGCCACTACCTGCCCCGCGAACGAGGGGGATGCCAAAGACTATGAAGCGCAGCAGAGACTTTCGGGAAGGGGTCATATCATTGGAGAAATTTCAGATACCCGTGAAACCAATCCTCGGGCCGAATCGAGTCAGCCGACAAATAGCAACTTCTCGACTAACAACACCACCCCCCACTATGACGGAAGCTCCGAGTATGTTTCTACCGCCGAGACAAATGGAGCCAATCTCTCGCAGATTCAAGCTCACATCGGCAGGGCTGGGACTAACCGTGGTCAGTCTGAGAGCCAGCGGCGACGCAGTGAGCGAGTCTACCTTAAGGCCATAGACCGTGTCCCTGGCCAGGGTTCTATCAAAAAGCCCGGCAAGGATGGTGAGCAATAGATTTCCATTCACTCACCAATCTGCTTTTTGAATATTTTGCACGTCAGCCTTGATATCAGCCAATGATCATATCGAAAAAAAGAAAAAAGGCAAAAGGAATCGGAAAAAGGGAAGAAAAAAAGAAATCTATTGACAGATTATTCCTTGCCAGCATGTTCCAGTGAGAATCCAACCTCGCCAAAATATTGAATAGACTCCCGAGGTCGTTGATACAAGGCTTAAGTATGCCTTGTGATCGCTTAATGCTATTCATGAAGAAAAAAAACATTGAAAACAACCAGACCGATTGAAAGAAAGGCACAATCGCCATCGACTCCACGCAGCAGCGGTAGAGAAAACATGTGGAAGATTACTTGAAGCCCGAAGATTTGTTGCTTGCTGTACACAGCATGCCGTGCTCACTTGGATTTACATTGTTGGCCAAGAGTTCAGATTTGGCAATCTCACTTCTTGTCCATGGTGGTCCAACGTGTGTTATCAGACCGTGTTCATCGTTTTTCAGATACGGAGCTTTGGACAGTCTGTCGAGTGGTTTCGTGAAGGCTTGGATGGGGAGCTAGAAAAAGAACAGTAAGAAAAAGAAAACAAAGCAAAGAAATATGCCATGATGCGAAATCTTGCGAGAAAAGAGTGGAAAATGGTTGGCACATTCGATAGGTATGGCTAGACTTTTGATAGCAGTGTACTCAATACAATGAAATTAAACCCAATTGCCTTGTTAGAGGTCATAACTTGCTGTCTTAATTCTATCAGTATTCCAAGGTTGTTATACTGCATGGGAGCCGACCTCGGTGGGTTGAGGTTATTTCAACGACATTCTCAAATCGAGGATCTCAAATCTCATTTCTAGCTTCAGACTACCTAGATACCTATTCATGTACTCAGCTAGGAGGGAGTTAATTGAAATATTTGCATGCGAAAAGGGGAAAAGAAAATCACACATACTCCGTACAATATGGAACCCAAAACAATACGACTCGCTTGCTGGAAAGACACCCAAATGCAGCAGAAACAAAAGGCTCCTATGCAACCACCCAACAAGCAATATGAAAAAAAAAATTAATGTAAGATAATTATGGTCGTTTTTGTATGAACAAAAGCCAAATTCAGGTCTCAAATAAATAGACTGGTCTAGCTTGCCACAGCCAGCTGGGCGACGAGATCAGACGCCACATCAAGGAAGGGGTAAGCGCTGGTCACCTCCTTCTCCTTGTTCTTGAGGCGCTTGCTGATGGGATGCCATTCGGTGTCGCCTTCGGCGCGGATGACGTTCTGGTAGCCATCGCATTTGAAGTCAACCATGTAGTTGTTTTCTTCGAGTTGGTAAAGCTGGATATCGAGGAAGACCCAGACACCGTAGGTGATGTGGGGGAGTCCGGTTGGTCCATTGACCGAGGAGGCCCCGCTCGCGAGACCGCTGTCGGGTACGGAAGACTGGGGCTCTCTGCTCCTGTCTTCTGTTGGGGCAGAGATCCCCGAGATGTTGAAGCGGCGGCGCAGTTCTTCGAGGTCGCTGCGGCTATTGTAAACGCTGGTGGATGCCCCAGGGGCCTTGATACCTTCTTTCAGCAGGCGTGCACGGATGAACCATGGGTCCTTCGGAATATAGTAGTCGGGTGGGAGGTCGGGGTATTTGCTCTGCAAGGGTTTGGGCTTATCAGGGGAGGGGGTTGCATCGGGGCCAATATTGGTGCCTAAAGGATGTAAGAATGAGCTCGAAATGGGCAATTGACGGAAACATACCTGATTCCACGGGTTGGATATCCCACAATCCACCCTGGGCAGCAATTGCCCGGTACAGATAAAGCATGGCCTCATATGGCTGGTTTCGGGATCGAATACCAAACTGCCATTTCCGGCTCCGCTTTGGCTGTTTTTCGAGGGGTTGACCGGTTGGCGGCTCGAATCGCAACTTGTCAAAGTCGACGACACTACGGGCGTGAGGCTTCAATGCACGGGCCGTGGCGGCCTGTTCTGCGGGAGACATGTCCCGATAGGCAGATCCCTGTCCTTCTGGGTCACGCTGGGCGGCCTCTTGACGACGCTGCTCAAGTATTTCGTTGCGGGCTCTTTTATCTCGATCACGTTGCTCCATGAGTTGGTCGTGAACATATGGCAAGCTAGTAGGGAGAATCCGGACGTGGCTAACGCGGGGTTCTTCCTCGGATTCTGATTGCTGTGGATCTTCCGAGGCCCTCCGGCGCGATATACTAGTGGTTCTGTCCCTGGCCGGGGCAGGGGGCGCTTGATGACGGGGCGCAGGAGTCCGATCAGCAGATGAAGGCGCAGCTCCTTTCTGGACATTTTGCGCTAACAAATTATCTTCCGTGGGTGCTGATATTGTTAGCAGAGCGGTAGGTTAATTAAGTAGTTCAGGTCTTACAATTGGTCTGCATCATCTCATTCTCAACGACGATGGAGAAGGCATCCTTGATCGCGCTGGGTTCCGGGTGTCTCAATGCCTCTTCGATATCCTCTCGGCCATATCCCATGCTTCGTTCGAGCTTGGAAACTGCAATTCGATGAATTTTGTGCTGGACTGGTGGAGGCTTTGCCATATCAAGCTTTGCAGAATCAACCTTCTTCGAGTCCACTCCTGGGGCGATGAACTCCTCTCGTGGGGGTTCCAGGTACTGAGGGAGATTTTTGGTGAACCATGGGTCCTGTCTGATCTCAGGGATTGTAATGCGGTGGACGGGGTGGACTTGAAGCATTGCCCGGATCAAACGAGCTGCCCCGGATGAGATATATCCAGGTATGTGGAAGGTGCCCGCTGCAATCTTTTTAAAAAGGGCTGGAATGTAGTCATCATCGAAAGGCAATCGGCCGACTAACAGCACATATAGAATCACACCACAACTCCACACATCGACCTCAGGGCCAGCGTAAAGCTTTCCGGAGATGACTTCTGGGGCCGCGTAGTTCGGGCTACCGCAGCTGGTCTTGAGGAAGTTTCCATCCGTCATAATATTACTCAAACCGAAATCCGCAATCTTTACATTCTTCTGGTTGTCGATGAGCAGGTTCTCGGGCTTCAAATCACGGTGTACAATCTTGTGTCGGTGGCAGTATTCGACAGCACAAATTATTTGCTGGAAGAATTTGCGGGCTTCGTCGTCAGCGCATCTTCCCTTCCTCACGAGATAATCGAACAACTCTCGCTCTGCGTACTCCAGCACCATCACAATATCGGTCTTGGTCGCAATCACCGTATACCTAAAAAAATAAAATTGGTCAGTCAACTAAAACCCCAATTGCATTTTGGATCGAAATTGTACAATTTGATGATGTGAGGGTGTCGTAGCAATTGCAAGTACTGGATTTCTCGCTCCACACGGCCAACCATGTCCCGGGAGAGTAGCTTGCGTCGTGGGATGATCTTCAGAGCAACTTGACGTCCACTTGGTTGGTGAATAGCAAGCTTTACCTTGCCAAAGGAACCCTCACCCAAGACTCTCACGGTCTGGTACTGGTCGAGGCGTTGCATGTCTCGGGTAGTTGACGGTGACTGCAATGACTCCTCGGCCTTGCCGGTCGGCCTGGAGGGGGCATTGCCATAGCGGAGGGGTTGGAGGCGGGAGGCCTAGCACGTTCACGCGGACGATCACGGTCGGAGGGGAGGGGAATAGCGAGGTCTTCCTCATCGAAAGCAGCGGCCATGGTCGGGGAAGAATGACAACGTGACGTTATTGATTTTCCAGACGGTTCAACGGTCCGGGGCTGCTGACTGTGCAGACCTTACTCGGGGATTTTCTATTTTTTCTCTCAAAACATCCAGGCGCCAATCAGTTGATCAGTCTCGACCCTCCCCACAACAGAACCGAGGGTGGAGCTTGGACAGCTGTTTGTCGGCGGGGGGATGGAGGGGTAAATTTGCTTGTCAGGGGTAGGCGGAAGGAAGAAACAGGAACTGAAGATGTTCAGTATTTATCACAGCTAATAATGATGGGAAGATCAATGAGATCCGATAAAGCCATGGGGATTTTCAATCTTTGGCGATGTCGGGAGTTCTAGACCTTACCTAAGCTGGTTTTGGGGCTGGGGCGGACTGTGGACCTCACGATCACCATGCCTATAAATTGTACTTTCTATATCCCAAGCAAACTTCTTATAATAGATTTGGTAATATATAAGACTCTGTATATCCCATAGATATATATTTTTTGGTTTAATTATCACAATTGATACTTCTAGACGTTCATATTGACCTATATCAGCCAAGCTTTGTCGGTCAAGATGGCAGAATATATCTATATCTTTTTATACCAGCCCTAATGTGTTGCATCTTATCCCAGATCAAAGGATGGTCTGTGTCTATGATCAGCCTAGCTAGAGCTAACAAATAAAGCTTTTTTTTTTTAGCTATTGAATTTTTTTAAAGAACTTTTTTGCCGAAGCTCCGAGAAAAGCTGTGTCATATACAGTGGGTCAACCCCTTAACTGTGGCTTAAAGTCAATTGATCGAGATTCATTATTTTTTTTCATTGCCTAAAGCTATAATAATACATTTTACTTCCTTGGATCTGAAGCCAACTACATATGTTGGAGTTGTAGATAGAATGTGCCGGTTCTATTGTCCAATTATGCTTTAGCGCAAATCCAGCCGGGCTATGCATGCAACACAGCCTCTTGATCTTTGAGCAAGAAAATATATATGTTTCTAGAGCTAGAAATAATGTACATCATAGATCCGTTATACAAGATTTTTTTTTATACTATAAAAAAGGCCAAGAAGACATGGAATTTTCTCTAAGTAAAGGAGACTTATAAGATACCTATATTCCCATAGTAAATTGTATCGGGTGAGAAGTACCTCGTAAGTATATGCTTTGAGTCATACTGCAGTTTTGAGTGATCAAGCGGGGTGTCGGGGTCCCAAAGTGGATTAGCGTCTAGTCGGGGACCCCGAAGAGGAATGGCCAAGTGTGAGACCCAGAGCATACATAGAATCAACGGCTGCCTCAGGTCTTGGGTTCTTCACCTTCTCTGGAAGCCATTTCTTTGTTTTTTTAGTATTCTCTTAACCTGGGTCTGACTCTGCCTAACCTTGGCCTGACTAAACGGCCCTCTTTGCCCTCTTTTCAAAATAGATACCCCTAGTGATACCCCATCTTTTTGTTTTCCAATGGCTTTCGTTGCGGATGAATTCTTCTCTGACATGGATGCGTCAATTTCCAACGAGTGGGTTGACTTTGATCAATTCCTCGATCTCCCTTCAGGCTACGACGACCAGTCAACTGCCACCACAGTCTCACCTCAGGATCTGGCTCTCCCTTATGAGGCAGATGGGATGTTCACCTCCCCATCTGATTTCATGCAATCCTCCCTCGATACGACCAACTATGATCTCCAAGAGTTTATGGGCATGGATGGAGGAGGTTTCATGCAGGACCCGGCTGCTCCCTTGTTCGATGATGCTGCGTTCCTAGGGTACAACCCGTATGACAGCAGCAATACATTCAGGAACTTGGTTGAGGCCCAGGCCGCCGCCGACCCGCGCGTTGCTACTATCAAGGAGAAGCGTCGCGAGGCAGCGATTGCGTTGCACCTGCAGCGCCTTTGCGATGCGACTGCTCTCGACTTGGATATGTCCTCCGACTCCAACACCAGCTTCTCATCCCCAAGCTGGTCAGAATACGTTCGCGGGAGCATCTCCCCGCGCTCTAGCCCAGAGAATACATCTGTCGAGGCACCCCTCCAGGAGGCATGGAGATGGTTCTCGACTTGAACATGAACGCCGCAGCCAATGTGCCTAAGAAACAGAAGCCTCGATCGCAGGCACAGAAGGAGAACTACATCAAGGCTCGGAAGTACGGTGCTTGTGAGAAGCACAAGAAGCAGCACAAGCGAGTAAGTCTTCCATTCACATTGAACATTTGAGCACGCTAACGTTCGAGCAGTGCAACTGCCTGGAGAAGGCTGCTGCTCGTGTCGCTGCCAGCGACATTCCTATGAACGCCGCACTCCAAGAACGGCCGAGGCAGCCGATGCTCCAAGTGCCGATCCTCCCGGAGTCGCGCTACTCAGACTCGCCCGGTCACGACCCATCATTCAACTCACCTCAAGCGCTTCCAACTGTCAAGGCGACAAGGAAATTGACAAGTATCTCATCTGGTATCGACCCATCTGTGGGGCTGCCGTCGATGGGACTGCCTGTTGCGGTACCAATCAGCAAGCAGGTTATCAGAACACAGACTCAAAAGAGTACACCACCGGGACACGATATTGTTCAATCATCTGGCAAGCCAGCTTTCAAAAGCACCTCGAGTCAAGACATCGTTCTACTATCGAGCAGAAATACTGCGAAGTGCGGAGCTGTTGGACACGACACAGTCCTATCTGGCAAGACCGTCACAAGCCACTCTTCCGCGGGACACGAGAGAGCCTCCACACAAGACAGGATCTCAAAGAACACAGAAAGTGGACAACCCCACGATACATGCAATTCAAGTATGCCTCGGCCAGTTCACGCAGCTGGGGTGTCATCTGGCAGCTCGAGCTTGCGCTGGCGCGTATCGACCTCGTCTGTTGGTGTTGTGTATTCAGAAAGGACCAACGTCAAGACGACATCGTCGGCGGATCATCCAACTACTCGCGATCGCCACATTCCAGGCCTTCATGTATACCAAACGAGTTCCACCCGCACGACGGAAACACCCGTGGTGCCAGGTACTGTTGCTGGCAACGTTGGAATGCGCCATTCCATGCCCCTCGTGCGCAACTCTGGACTCCAGGTACCGGGACCAGATCACAAGAGAGTTTCAGAGGGACTTGCCAAGCAACTCGCAATACTCTCTGGCTTACAGTCAGTGCCAAAGGATCTACTGGTCTCGGCGACTCGGCGTGGATCGCCAGGTCTCTTTGGAAACACATCGCCGCATACCCTCGAGGTTCGGCCACTGCCCATCAGCGGAGGTATTCTTGTTCGGCCCATTGCTGAAAGTGTTGGCGGCCTGGTTTCCAGTACTGCCCTGGCATTTGCCGGTGCCTGGAAGTCATCGCTGTCTCTGGCAGCTGGGGCTGAGGGCGTGGTCTACAAATGTCTGTCTCTGTTTGGCCGACACCTTGTGTCCGCGAAGAAGGGCTTATATCTGGGCGGACTGCGGAACGCTTGGTGCCTATGACTGACCTACTGTTCTTGGATGAGTGGATGGATCAACTTTTGATAATTAGCTGAGCTCGCTTTAACGACTTAATTGTAGAGGGCATACAGAGGTGACATCTACCGTCACACTCAAGTGGTCCGTGATGATGAAATTGAGAAGAATTCATTTGCATCTAATATCCACCAAACCTTGTATGTTAAGAGTAATAATTTAGGAGAAGTGAGTACAAGTATGTGGTCTCAACAGCAACAACCAATGCTGTGAAGGTACGGTAAAAATCGAAGGTATGGTAGTTGGTAGATGGGCTGGAGCATTGATAACGTTTATAGCCATTTGCCGTCTATAGTATAGAACTAGATTTTTAGCTAAACGTATAGAGTCAAGGCCCATTTGCGATTGGAATTTCTAACCATCTTTGTTTTTTTCCCCTTTTCCTCTACCTCTGCCGACTATGTGTACTGTAATTAGCTTCCTTCTTAGATCTCCCAATGGATAATATCCATGTTGCATACACAATGAAAAGTAGTTCAATCTTGCATGTCCTTATACTATCAAGGTTATTTCTATGGGAGTCTTCGAGTCGAATGCTAGAAATGACCTAAATAGTGAATATTTGATATGAACTCAAGGTGCATCTTTGCCGTCCCCACCACCCCAGCCCTAAATATCCCTAATCCCACGCCAACCCTTTTCCCGTCTCCTTTACAGTTCAAAGCAATACTCATACTTCGCATCAACTTCAAAACTATGATCCCCTCGCCGCTGTTACGCCTCACTACAGTGACGGGGTATTTCCTCCAGGATGACCCCGCCACTAACCCCGACAGCTTCGACTACGTAAGAGACCCCAATATCCTTGCCAAAGCCATCAAAACACTGTCTGATGATCTAGAAAGGTGAAATCAAACTTTGGTCTCATCGAAAAACACTATGATGGGCACCACGGAATGGAACAGACTGACAGCCAGTGGCGGCGTTTCGATGCCCACATTCAACGCCTGAACAATAGCGAGACTAAAAAGCTCAAAGTCCTCTTTCTGGGACGCCACGGCGAGGGCGTCCACAACGTTGCCGAGCGCAAGTATGGCACCAAGAAGTGGGATGTATGTAGTTGACCATTCCCTTATGAACCAGACATTAATCAGACCTCTAGGATTACTGGTCTCTCCAAGACGGAGACGAGGATGGCAACTGGGTAGATGCTCGTCTTACTGAACAGGGCCGGTGCCAGGCGCAAGTTGCACATGCAGCTTGGGAGAAACAGATCGAGGCTGGCATCCCGTCACCCGAGTCTTACTACGTGAGCCCCCTGAACCGGTGCCTTGAAACGGCGCAAATTACGTTTCAGGGACTTGCGATCCCCAACATGGATCCTTTTAATCCGACAATCAAAGAGGTGTGTTGATTTCTGCCACGGAACGTACAATATCTAACCCGACTAGCTCCTCCGTGAGACGACGGGTCAGCACACATGTGACCGTCGCTCAACGGCTTCGGAAATCGCAGAAGAATACCCAGAGTACCGGTTTGAAGCAGAGTTCTCTGAGGAAGACAAGTTGTGGGACCCTAAGGTCCGCGAGTCGAACGAGCACCGCAACGATCGGCTTCGCTGTCTTTTGAACGATATATTTACCAACGACGAGAGTACGTACATTTCGTTAACAGCCCACTCAGGTGCCATAACAAGCATTCTGGAAGTTGTGGGCCATCGCCGCTTTGCCTTGGCGACTGGTGCGGTGATCCCTGTGCTCGTTTCCATGGAAAAGGGGCCCCCGTCGCAGCCAGCGTCGCAGTCCTTGTAAAGCTCGCCTGATTCGGAAGTCAATTTTGAAAACTGCAGCAAGCTTATAACTGACACGGCTGCTGGATTTGATAAATATTAAGAGGAGAGCAACTGGTCTCAATGGTTTGATATCCAAGAAATTGATTCAGTATTGTACATGAGTCGCTCTTACTCAATAAAGATGAGAGCAACTTCTCACAAATGCAATTGTCGCCTCCAATCGGCTAAAGAAAAACCACTGTCCACGCGAAAGATCTAGATATAAATAATACAGACGCCAAAACATCGATCACCAGCTGTAGTACTGGTTCTGCGCGGAGATCTTGCGATCCGGCAATTGTGTCCAGAGCTGAGACCTCCGCTCCCGCTGGGCCTTGGCCTCACGGTCCTCCCACTCGCGGATACGAGTCTTCTCTTCCTTCAGCAGGACTGAGATACTTGTGGTAGGGGGGCGCATGCGGTTGATCTGGCCACGGGCGCGGTGATCCATCTCATATCCGTAGGGACCACGGTTGACCCAGGCCTCCTGGATGTAGATGTCAGAGGGGTTGGCAATCTTTTGCCGCTCGCCAGACTTGAGTATGACAGTAATGGGTTTCGGTGATTCGGGCTTGGGAGCATCAAGGCCAAGGCCCATGCCGGCACGGACTACGGCGACGTTCTTTGCGTGTTCCAGATGTTCCAGCACGTCCCTAGCGGCCTTTTTGTTGCTGAAACGCATCTGCAGAATGGCTTCGTCGATATTCTTGCCGGCGATTTGGCGGGCCAGAGGACCCAGCTTCTTCAGCGAGGTCTTGATCCAGTGAGATTTCGAAAGTGATTCACGCTCTGTGCGCTTGATTTGCACCTTTGTCGGTACACGGCCTCGTTTCCGGATCTCGCGGACAGCCATCTTCCTCTCCCACCGCAGCTGGGCCTTGGGGTCGGGACCCAGTCCCACTTGCAGGCGGCTCAAGTCGCGCTCTTCCAGCTTTCCGGAGGTGACTTCTTTTTGTTGCTGCGTTGGCCGGGATGGCGTAGGACCCGATGTTGGTGCGGTGAAATCTGATCCGAAGATGGAGCTTGCTGAACTACCTTCTTCCTTCTTAGGGGCCGAGGGTCGGTGGGCGACTTTGGCGGATCCCCCCGCAAACACATTCTTCAAGGAGGAGAGCCAGCCGGTCGGCTTTTTGCTTTCGCCATCCTTCAAAGCGTAACGGAAGGGTGTCGAGGTCAATGTTCGGCGAGGGACGAAGGAGACGGTCCGGGCTGCTAAACGTGGGAAATAAGTCAGTAGGGAGGCCAAGTATAAGATGTAGAAATATAACATACCTGTCCGGACCAATTGCCCTGAGGGATAGACCATTGTGGCTGTTGGGATGTTGTTGTCAGAAGTTCACGTCGGGAAAAAAGGTGAAAGTTCCCTGCACTTGTGGTCTGTGCGGCATACCGGAGCCTGAGGCACCTTCAAGTTGATCGATCAGAATAGCCTCAAGAGAGATGCGACTTGCGACCGCACGAGTCTATGGAGCAAGAACAGGCTTATCTACACATGGAGATAATCTAGTATCTTTGATCGTATTTGAACTTCAGTCTTGCGACTTTATTGTTTCTTCTTCCCAACCATCTCCACAGTATCCACTAGCCCTCATCTTTCCCTCTTTCAGTTCTTCTCTCTCTTTTTCGTCTTCCTTCATCCCTCCCTTCCCTTCCCAGGCCATCAGCCTGTCGTTTCCATCCTTTTCGAATATCCGAGATCTTAGAGATTTCAGCTTGCCCTCTCGAATTAAAGGGCTCTCGTTCCTTTCAGGCATTCCTTTGGATTCTTAAGCCACCCGCCAGAAACAGCTGCGCAAGTGTAAATCTACGTCATTTGCAGGAATAACGAGGGGGGTTCTGGATACGACCGGCCGATGCAGGAATGGACGTGTTGAGGTACTTCAAGACTGTCGTATGATCTGGAATTCCGCTTGAAAAGCACCTGGGGCATCCATTACGACAATTCCCGGTATCCACTCGCTCTTCCCAAAGCTGTATTCAAATATGGACATCAATTCGCTTCTTTCGCCGGACTCGAATCCCAAGTCTGGAAATTCAACGCCCGTGCCTAGTCCTACGTCGAACAACGCACCGGCCACCTCTACAGGGCCATCCCCCCACAAAGCTATTGAGAGAACTCGGACAGGCTCCAGACGAAAGGGCAAGACTTCTTCACCTCTCGCCCAGCAGGTGTACGCTCCTACTGGGGAATCTTCGCCAGGACCTAGCGGAGGAAATGGGACTTCTCCGACTGAAGTGCCCTCAAGACAACCATCCACTCCGGGAATGGACACTTTGGCGGATCTCGCCTCGATGCAGCACCACCAGCCACAACGTCCAACACCGACAAGCATGCTTCGTAGTACTGAATCCTACGAGCACCAGTTATCCCCATCTACTATTCACCCACACGTCAATTCTATCACCCACAACACCCCTACCTCTCGGATGTCCTTCGAGATCGCCATGTCGGATGGACGCGACGGGCCCGCGAAGAGGACCTACGCTGCGACTTCGCTCGACCCTGATGCGCAACGGATGGCGACCGAACTTTTCCATCAAATCTCGCTCAACCCGCACACGCATGACGCGCACGTGCAATTTATCGGATTGCTGCATGCAGGATTTGTCAACCACGTCTACCCACCGAATAACCCAGATGTCCACGGCGACCCGCGACGTTATGATCTACTCAACGATTTAAAAACGGCACGTGAAGAAATGGATAAGCTTTTCGCCATGGGAGAAGATCTTTGGGCCGAATGGATTCAGGACGAGAGTATGTTGGCTCAAGATGTTGACGGGCGCATTGCTGTTCTAGAACTCTGCCAGCGATCCGTCGAAGAGGAATTTGGCAGCACAAAACTGTGGAATATCTACGGCGAATGGGTTCTTTATCTCTACAATTCCGCTCATGGCGAAGCCAGTTCTCAGTGGACCGAAGAGGATCGCATGGTTGGGCGCGAGGTGTTCACGTGGGATTCAGTCGTGGAGGTGTGGCAACGGGGCGCAGATGCGACCAAATGGAGAATCAACAACAGCCACTTGGTCTGGGATCGCCTCTTGGATCTCTATGCCGAGGACATTGCTCGCGCACCTTCCCAAGAAAAGATCAACCATCTTCATGGACTTTATGGCCATCGTTTGCAAACTCCCCACGCCACCTGGGACCAGACCTTCCAAAAGTTTTCGAGCTTCATTTCGACTTATTGCAACAGCAAGTATGAGGAGATCATGTCTGAGACTGTTGCCCGCGCAGCTGAGCCAAAGGCTCTCTACAACGCACGAGAGGAATTCGAACACCGCCTAGCCAAAGCGCAAGAGTCTGGCGATCGCACTCTGGAATGGACAGTTTACTCCGAGTACATTGAGTGGGAATTGACACGCAACCGCCGGAAACGAGGAGATTTCAGCTTCGATTTGGTGAATGCCATCTATCAGCGCGCCGTTCTTCACTTCCCCACCGATGTGTCGCTTTGGGAAGACTATGTCATGTTTTTGATTGGCGAATCTCTTCATCGCCGTGCTTCTACCACGACGATCTCTACCCTAGACCGTGCCACGCGTCATTGCCCATGGTCTGGAAACCTGTGGTCCCAGTATCTGCTAAGTTCAGAAAGAGAGAACCAGTCGTTCAACAAGATTTCAAGTATCAAGCACAAGGCGACTAGTACTGGATTGCTTGATGCTGGTGGCTTGGAAGAAGTTCTGAAGGTTCATGTCACCTGGTGCAGTTACCTTCGCCGACGCGCCTTTTTGTCCGACTCGACCGACGAAGATCTTGATGTCGCAGAAGTTGGCATCCGCTCAGCCATCGAAAGCGTGCAAGAATTGGGCGAAAAGAAGTATGGCCCGGCGTATCAGGGCGATCCTCTTTTCCGCCTGGAGCGGATTTATATCCGTTTCCTCAGCGAAAGCGGCAGCTGGGACAGCGCGCGAGAGACCTTCAAAGGCCTAGTGGCGCGCCGTGGCAGTAGCTACGAATTCTGGCTCACCTACTACGGATGGGAGTTGATTTGCTGGAGCAAATTTGTGCAAGGCGAGGCAACAGTCGATGCAGCGCGCCGAACCCCCAACCCAAGCTATGCTACTGCCGTGCTCAAGCAGGCAATCAAGAGAACCGATCTAGACTGGCCTGACAAGATTGTTCAGACATACGTTACGCATTGCGAGGACTATGAGGACTCTGATGAGCTCCAGCTGGCTGTGATTGAAACTCGGAAAGCAATGCGAGCTGTCACTGCCCGGAGAGAGAGGGAAGCACGAGAGGCAGCAGCAGCACAGCAGCAGCAGCAACAGCAGTGGGAGGCGGCGGTGGAGGCAGTTCCTTCGCCCGAAAAGAGAAAACGCGAAGACGAAAAAGATGAGATGCCGGAAACCAAAAAGGTCCGCAATGAAGACGCACCGCCGGAGGTTCCTGCTCCTCCTGCACGGGATCGAGAAAATGCGACCGTTATCGTCACAAACTTGCCTAAAGGTACCACTGAACATCTCGTTCGTCAATTCTTCCGTCATGTAAGTGCCTCGTCCTTATTACTATCGGGATAAACTTAACTAACCAAACAGATCGGTACCATCAACACCGTCAAAATGCTCCGAAGAGACGAGAAAAACTCTGAGGTTGCGGTCATCGAGTTCGAAACCAAGGAAGAGGCTCTTTCCGCTCTCACTCGTGACCAAAAGCGCTTCAACAACACTGATGACAACATCATCGACGTGAAAATTGGGTCACAGACGACGATTTGGATCACCAATTACCCACCGACTGCGGATGAGGACTACCTGCGCAACCTTTTCAGCAAAGTAAGTGCTGCCTCGCCCTGGCTTTTGTAACATCACTGACTTTAGTAGTATGGCGAAGTACTCGACGTTCGAATGCCGTCTCTCAAGTTTGACACTGCCAGGCGCTTCTGCTACTTGCAGTTTGACACCTCCAGTGCTGCCCACCATGCAACAGAGCTTCATGGAATGCGATTTGAAGATGGCAAGAAACTCAGTGTTAAGATATCTGATCCGGGACAAAAAACTGCCCGCAGTGGTCCCAGATACGAAGGACGAGAAGTCTATGTTTCAAACATCGCCTGGGACGCCAGTGAGAATGATTTGAAAGAGCTATTTTCCAAATTCGGTGACATCGAAAAGGTCTTCATTGAACGAAAGCTTACCGGCGGCAGTAAGGGGTATGGCTTTGTTACATTCTCTACCAAGGAGGCTGCCAATGACGCCGTCGCAATGAATGGACATGTGTTCAGGTCACGTCCTCTTTATGTTGAAATTGCTACCACCGACACTCGGCGTGGAAACCAAATGATCATCTCTCGAGTTGCAGCACACCCGGCGGATCACGGTGTCCATGGGTTTGAAGTGCCGGTTGGTGAGCATGCACAGCGCACGCTTGCTTTGATGAACGTTCCCGATACCGTCAATCAAGCCCGCATCCGTGCCCTCGTCGAACCATATGGGCGTTTAGTTGCGATCAATTTGCGCCCAGAACATCAAGGTGCTATTGTGGAATATGTCGATATTCAGGATGCCGGCAAAGCTGCGTTGGCGCTTGAAGGCAAGGAGATCACTACTGGACGCCCCCTCCATATCGGCACAGTTCGAGAGATGATGAATTCGCAACCGGAAGTCAAAACAGACCGGGGACCATTCGTCAAACACGAAGGTAAAACGAAGAAGACGAACCTACAACCTACTGGACCGATTAGACGTCCGCAGCAGCCTGGTGCCCGGAAGGGTGGTCTTGGGATGAAACGACAGATTGCACCTTCCGGTCCGAAACAATCTGCGGCTAATCCGGCTAGCGATAAAATGGACACGGCGCCTGACGGCGAGAGCAAACCGAAAAAGAGCAACGATGATTTCCGCGCTATGCTCCAACAAAAGCGTCCGGAATGAAGTGCAAGTGCAATGACAGTGATAATTCCTGGCGCAATTCCTTTATTTTTTTATTTTTTTTCTACGGCATGTATTCGGCTTGGCGTTTTTCTGTTTCCTGGTGGTCATCTTGATGCTTCCTTTAGATCCGCATGTATTCATTCGGGTCGGTCTTTTGCGCCATGACCTCTTCTTTTGTTTATGGCACATGCCGTCGTGTATATTATGACTGTATCTTGCTCTTAGTTCTAATGATGATGTCTGTTCCGAAGGGTTGTCTCCGAGACATTGCCCCCGATGACTTGAAACTTTGTGATATTAAAAGAAAATACTGTAAAGCGTAGCGATTAGATTTTTATATTTTATCATGTCTTATATAGCGGTAAGCATTATGTGCATGCAGAAGGTGATTGGATTCGATGTCACGATAGCGCACTGACGTCAACTGGTTATGTAGGTCTCCTTGATTTCTTCCTGCGGGGAAATTTCATTTCTGATCCATTTCAAGTTGCACAGCGCGATTTATTGCGACCAATATAACTGTTATCTGCTTCGTACTGGAGGGTACACTATTCTACATTCCCCTTGGACATCTCCGCGTGATCTCCCTTATCTGACCCGATTAGCCGACTCTAGTACACCTGTGGACCCCTTCCCTTACCATCGTTTCTGCTTTCTCTATCTTACTTAGGTCCATTGAGACCTCTCAAGATATTGCTGCTCTACACTCGATGTGCAGGGCTGTTATCAAGTATTGTGAACATTCCACGCCATCGTATAGCCGCAGCGATGGACTTCCGCCTAGTGCCTCGCGGTAGCGATCGCAACTACACAGGATTTCTTACAAAGACGATAGTCTACATCGGGACGCTGATGATATTTCTGGCCTGTAGGCAGCTCTCAGCGACTAGCTAGACATCCAGTTTTACTGACCAAATCTCCCAGCATTTGGCTTGACAGTATCCTCGATCGTCATTCCAAAATGGGTCAGCTACCATAGCGAAAAGGTACGTCGTTTATTCACCACCGACAAGCTCCCACTCACACTATGGACCTGTAGCCCGATAACCACTACTCCTACGGCCTTCATCGCCGCTGCTCCTCCCTTACCGATACCTGCGAGAGCTTCCCACAGCGCGAAGACTGCCACGGCGAAGACCGATACTTTTGCTCCATGTGGCGCTCCGTCGGGTTCTTGATGTCCTTTGCTGTCGTTTTGCAGGGAATTAGCATAGTCACATACCTGGTGATCCTGACTGGTGGAAAACAGCTGCGCGAAAATGGGTGGAGTGTTCTTAGTTTGATGGTTGGTTTGTCTGCCATTGTGCAGGTAGCCGGCATGTCGATAGTGGTGGGTTGATAATATGCCTATATTTAGGTCCACGATGACGTATTCTAATTATTTGGTTTACAGGCGTATCTATTCGATAATGAGGACCGGTTCTTCGTCGGCTGGAAACTTGACCAGGCCTGGATCTTTTGCACTATCAGCTGGTGCTTCAGTGTTTTTTGCGCAGGTGCGGTCATTGTGGCTGCCAAAGTCTTACCCTCAGAGGGTGGGTACGAGTTGATTCCTGATCATGACGAGTTTCAAGTCACTTGATAGTGCCCTGTGTAGCATTCATGGCACCTGGACGAATCACGCGTTACGCAAACAGACGGAGACCTATCTAGGTATCAGTCCTTGATGACTTCTCATAAATCTGCTATTTCGGCGGTTGCAGATTGTTGACGCTTTTCTATCTTTTGATTTCGTGCTTCGGCGTTGGGGCTGTATACATCTTTTATCCTTCCGGGCTATGGCAGGGAGAACTAATGGGAATAATGAGTTGAATAAAATATATCTCTGCAGGCATGTGTATCTACAGCCAATTTCAGATTATCATGGATCAAATCATATCTTCGTGGATCGTGTATGTGACTTGACAAGATAGGCAGAAAAATGCAATGCAACGTAGATAAAAGGTTTATCATTCATCTCATACAGTACATTCCCTCCGATAGGCCCCAACCTACCAGACAATCTCTTTCCCAATCAGTCCCTCAAGAGCCGGAATCTGTGGCCGCAGCGCCTGACCATAGTCACCCCCGTTCGGCGTGCGAAGCAGAGTGTGAATGTGGAATTTCTTCGGCTCCTCATTATTCAAAAACACACCGGAGTGATGATCAAACTCAACAAGGATAACCGGATTCTGAATACGGTAATAGAAAGGATCCTCATTCCCATACCCTCCAATCCAACAAAAGTAAGTCTCTGCCTCGTGCACGCGCACCTGATCAATCTTCATAGCGCGCGATTTCGCCGGCAGGTAAAGCAGGTATTGCTCCAAGATGCCATACATGAGCTCTTTCTGCGCGGGATTAAAAGTGGACGCGAGGATGCCCTCATACGGCACCTCACGGTTATCACGGTACGCGCCGCACAGATGACGCTGATCATCCTTATTCCAGCGGCCGGGGGGCATGGCCGGATCCTTCATGTGGACGAAGACACGAGCAGAAGCCTGCAGCTCCGCCGAGAGAGACTGCATTAATTGCAAACCGAGCTTCTCCTCGATCTGCATGATGCGGGTGCCGGCGTGCGGGCCGGCATCGATCTCGTTTGGCTCTGCGCCTGTGAACCATGGCGACGCAATGATCTGCCCTTTGTACAGAAAGATATTGAGGCAGAGATGGTGACCGTAGAATGACCAGCCCCAGGGGCGGGTAGTTGATGGGCGGCCGAAGAGAACGAAGTTGTAGGAGAATTCGTTCATCACTGCTGGTGATTTGACTAGCTCGCCGAGGAAGTGATTGATGCGCATTGCGTTGACGGCCTTTTCATAGCCTTCTGGTGAGAGAGTTGCTTTGAGGACATTCATCACTGCATCCCGGGTCTCGGTGTTGACTTCATCGAGCCGAATGCCTTTGTTCGCGAGCAGGAACTCAGGGTTCGACCATGTGCGCCATTGTGGGGAGTCGATGTGGTAATTGATGGCTTCTTTTTGCTTATCATCCAGTAGGGCAGTTACAGCTTCTGCTGCATCTACAATTTGTTGAATTGGGATGTCTTCTTCTTGTAATGTGAATAGACCCGGGCGGACGTTTCCTATATATGTTAGAAGCATTCTAGTATCATTTCAGTTTAGTTCATACCATCGGTAGTCACGCCTTTAAACGGCTCCTGTAATAGCTCCAACCAATGCATATACAGGGCATGCAGCCAGGGTGGCTGATGTCCGGTCTTAAATTCATGCGCGTACTCGTGCGCATCCTGCTGGCACATCGCCTGGAAGCGCTGGAGGCTGAGGTCAGGCAGGTACTGGCGGTACTCGCCCGTGGGCTTTTCTAATGCATTGGCCATAATTGTAAATGATGTAAAGAAATAAAAGAAGAGATGTCCAAATGGTGTTATAACAAGCTGAGACCCCACATCCCACCCTTCCCCACGAGCGTGGGGATGGGAAATTCCTTATCCGCACCATCTACATACTTAGAGCTTCGGGTTGAATCACCGAAAAGACATCTGTGTTTCATATCAAGGTTTGGGAATATCTGTCGGGTTTCCTAAATGCGGAGTTTGGGATTGTGCCACAGCCTTTGGGCTGGTATGTGCTGGGGCATAAGCCTAATTAGAGCACAAAAGTTGATATTTTTGGTATACACCTGTAAAGAACGAAATGTAGAAATAATTCTAATAGAATAAGGAGTATTATGCTCTTATTTTGTTGCTGCTTTTCGCTCTGCTAGGTGAAAATGGATGGAGATGATCGTAATCCTTTATACTTGACAAGAATCGTTCGCCGCTTATGGGGCCTCGTGATGTCTTTTCAGTGGTCTTTTCAGATATTCTGTTTAGATGTCTTTGAGATGTTTTCTTTCCCTTCTCGGCTTTATAAGTAGGTAAACCGCAGAGAGAAAGAAGAAGCTTAATTTGAGAAAACGGCTTATCCATGTATAACCTAGGATAACCTGGGATATATATGGTACAACTCCAACAGGCCCTAACTCATAATCTAGACCTCAACGATCAAATTATATGCTTATCATACATTATAATATAAATCATCAGGCTATTGGTTGCTTACTGGGCGAAAACCCACGTTATCGTCCGAGAAAACATGCCGTGGATATAAGCTTGACCGCAACTCGCTTTGCCTCGAGAACTCGGATGCTCCGAGGGATTGTCCATCGAAGCATATTCTCGTATTTCGGGAATCCCGTATTATGCTTCCTCCTTGGAGCTTCAAAAATTCAGACATCACCATGATCATCTAAAACACCACCCTTCATACTTCACAATGTCTCTGGACTACACAAATCACCCAAGTATGTCCTATATGCAATTCCTCAATTAGAGGGTGAACGCATTACAATCCCAAGAAGCAAAAGCGTGTTTCATACTCTTGACATCTGCGAAGAAACTCGTGTATTGATGGCTATATTCACAAGTGGCGCTGTTCTTTCCGATGCCCCATTTCCCACTACTATAACCCTGCCCATGTCTGCTTGGTCACAGTGATTGTGAAAGCTATAGAATGGGAACCAGTGCTACTCGTGGACCGCGAGAATGATTCCTGATATAAACCCGGATACTTCCCCGGTCACGTGGAATGAAGCCGGTCCGGAATTACCGGCTTCCCTTAATTGTCGGCCGAGACTGTAGGCGCAATGCTCAACATCGTTATAACGTTTGGGGCCCATTGGGGAATGTCTGGATGATGCAGAATCTCGGGTCTCCAACCCACCGACCCGAAGTCGACCAGCCGGCTTCTAAGCGCAACAAACGGCCGCGGGCGACTCAAGCTTGCGACAGATGCAGGCTAAAGAAGTATAAGTGCAACGAGCAATATCCATGTTTGCATTGTAAAAGTAAGTGATCAGATTACAGGAGTATCAAATATTCTCTGACAATTACAGAAAGCGACCTGGCTTGCGTATATCAAGGCAACTACCGAGAACGTGAAAGTAGCCGCTCTGCAGAGTAGGTCACTCAGTCAGCATATCTACTGTGCTTGCTAATACTTATAGCTATATCATCGAACTTGAGAAGAAGGTGGAAGAGCTGACCTCGAAGCTGCGTGATACGGAGACTAAGGCTTCCCCTAGAGGTCCCAATCTACCAGCAGCTGAAACACCATGCTCTATACGGGATTCTTCCACGCCACGGGGGGTTGCGAAAAAATCAGAGACCCCCGAAATATCTACAGAAAGTGTAGATGATGAGATTAGCGAGGTCAATCACACCAATGGCATTGAATCCCATAGTGGTATGTGCACAGCTGCAGCCATTGGCCATCTGAAGAAAGCGCACGAGCCCAAAGGCCAAGAAGAGGCTTGTTCTCGTGCAGCTGATTACTCAATCATATCAACGCTTCATAGTCCAAGCTTCTCTCCTTCATGCGCCGCTGGACTGGGGCAGACGTCAATTGAACAGAAAAACTACTATTTCGCCCAGGCTCATGTTTTTATGAATGGATATTTTGAGAGCATTCATTTCATCCATCCATTCGTTGATAAAGATGACTTTTTCGCGCGCGCTAACGATCTTTGGTTTCACCGATCACGCACGCCTGAGCCGAGTTTTGTCGCGCTATACCTCAGTCTTCTCTCACTTGGGTCTTTGGTGCGCGTATGGGATGAAGATACCATAGCCGGCTTGGATCGATATGAATGGAGCCGAAAGCTGTTTGGAGAGGCGCAGGTATACCTGAACCACTTGCGGTTTTCGAACGACCTTGAAACTGTTCAGTGTCTTTATATGATGGTGTGTGAATATTTCCCGATGAGTGATTGCAAGCTAACTTGGGCAGGCCAAAGTTTGTCAAAATGAGCTCAAGCCGAATTGTGAGTATTCATTCCAATTTTCGATTCAAAATCTAACCAAAAAGTGGCATACATGTATCTTGGCCTCGCAGTACGGACATGTCTTTCTGCTGGCTTCAATCGAGAGATCCCATGTTCAGGAGACACCAAGCAGCGTTCTGGCTGGATCTCAAAAACTTGGTGGTATGTCGAAAGTCTGTGTTCCGATATAAATTTACAGCTCTAACGAGGTGACAGGGGTCTGTTCTCTCTAGAAATGTAAGTACATTTTGAATCATCATTGATACTATGTACTGATGAGTTAGTGAGATGAGCTTTTCATTTGGACGACCGGATACCCTTGGAATGGATGAATATCATAACCGCAGCATTCCACCACGCGACGATTCTGAATTTGCCATTATCCCATGGATGATTGATCTTGCGCAGATCATTCGACAAATATCTGTCCAGATCTACCATTCTCGCATCTCATTGCAGGACAAGTTACAACTTGCTCTGCAGATCGAAATGGAAATGGATCGCTGGCTAGCGAGGCTTCCAGAAATGATCAAACCCGATATTGACGGATATGGAATGTCTCGTAGTGCCCTACGCGACCCGAAGTGGGCACGAAGACAACGGCTTGTTTTGGGAATTAGTATGTTATCTCTGGAACTCCCAAGGCTCTCAACTCCTGACTAACGAGTGTAGGGTACTATAATGTTAAAATGTTGCTCTTCAGGCCTTTTTTAGGTCACTTTGCGCGCAAACTTCGACACGCTCCAAACGAATTAGACCAAACTTTTAACAAGTGTTTGGACTCCGCTATGAAGACTCTCCAAGTGGTTCATGACATTTACCGAGTTCACACATTTTTCCGCTGCTGGTATGTTTCTTCGGTTATTATTGTTGCCTTACTAACTTAGAACTATTTAGGTGGTATAACACAACCTACGTGATGTTCGCTATATCAACACTCCTCCTTCCAATGTCCAAGCTCGGCATGTGCGCTGAAACCATGCCTTTGTTGCGATCTGTGGAAATAGGCGTGGAGATTTTAGAAGCCATGGATGAGTCTGCAATAGCTCGAAAGTCGGCTGAGATTATCAGACAGTACCTCAGGGACTTCAGAGCATCTAGAGCCTCGCAGCCATCTGGGGAGGATGAAGTTTCCCAACCTGAGGTGGGACAAGCATTTGAAGTACCAGTATGTGTATTCGTCCTGTTTTCGTAAGATTTACTGACCATATAGGAATGGGCTTATGGTTTTGGTTTGCCAGGATATTCTTTCGAGGGAATTGCCCGCCTCTTTGACGGAGGGCTCCCGATGCTGGATGAATGAATGACCTTATACACCCGGGGATATTTATTTATACATTTATACCTATAGGGGAACATACTATTGTTACCTATGGTAGCTATATACGTATAGGCAAAATGAAATCGATCGTTGGACGGAAGCGTGAACATTTTCATGAGTGTCTGAATTTCCTTGCGCTCTTTTGTTTCAGCGTCTACCGTTTTTCGGGTAGCATATTCGTGTTCGAAAATCAACGAGAACCCAACGCGGACAGTGTGTTCCTCTCGACAAGCAAATGTGGTCTTCTCCCGTTGGGTGTCAATCTTTGTGCGAGAGTCCGCAGCACAAAGTTCCTTAATCTTGAGACATGGGTTTGCAGGGCTGGTGAACCAAGCGGACCAAGGGTTCACGGATTTGGCCATGATGATATGGTCGAGTGCTTCCAATTACAGTGAAATATTGTAAAGTTGCAAGATGTAAGCTGTGTTTCTCGCTGGGAGTGCTGGGTTTGAGAAATAGATTGCAGTGGTAAGGGTTCCGAAGCTCAGTCAGTGGCAAAAATTTGGAGAAAAGGATAAGTGCACGGGAAGATAAAAAGTGAATCAGATTGCACGCAATTGAGACAGAAAAGTTGTCACCAGAGTGAGGATAGTATCAACAAAAATGACTTTCTATAATGCAAGACGAGGTCAGCCGAGACCCAGAAAAGAATTGAGCACAGTTTAAAGTTAACCGCGTGGAGGATGTGAGGGCGTATTATAAAAAGGCAAATAGGCTTGAGATAAATAAAAGAACACGGGAGATGATGAGCCTGAGATTCAACTTACCTTCATTTCTTCGAGCGTATGAGGGCGTCGTTCTCCGCAGCCAAGTACAACTGCTAGGGATGGTTCACGATGGTGCCCTAGACAGGGGTTGAAATCTTTGAAATATGAAGGATGGATGTAAGATGAAAGATCAATGGAGTAGAAATCCTAAGTCAAGTTAAATATCGAACAAACCTTTGTTGCCATATTTTGTAACTTGGACATAACCCTAAGGGCCCACACTTTCAGGATTCTGACTACGTTAAGCCTGCATCTGAAAGAGGCCTCCAGAGACTACAGCTTTATTGACTTTATGAGCTTTAGGGTGATCTTGATACTAAGGAATGACAAAACATATTATATCATCTCTTATCCACGCCATCATCCTCCCAACCTGTAACATTGCTAGATCTTAGGAAAACAAGATGCAACCCCTAATTCATCCAAAAGAAGAGGGAGACAGTTATAAGCCCTATCAGAACTAGGAGACTTCTCATATCTAACCTTCGGTATCTAACGCGGAAGACATCGAAATCTTACGCATAAAATGCCCTTGAGCTAAAAGCAGTAGTTGCTCCTCGTATACAGCATGATATCTACCTTTTTCGCCAAAGGAAGGAAATAGTATGTACATAATAACATGGTAGCCAAAGACAAAAAAAACACTGTATCAACCTGAGTAGATCACCCAAAAAGAAACCAAGAGATGAAACATAAAAATCAGGTCAAGAGACAAAAGAAGATCCCAAAGACGAAGCCACAACCAGGTGGCAGTCATATCACGTACGTTTCATAAAATCAGACCTCAAAACCCCTCCCAATCCCCATAAGCCGCAGTCTTATTCCTTTACCACGAGGCATTCCATCACAGGATTGGATTTTGATCATTCCACCGTCTAGATCAAGTGGAGAATAACACCCCGAAGAACCGACAGACTGTGAGATGATCGAGCCATGAGATATCCAGACCCGTTCTCTGTGTATCCGATACCCTTCATGCATGTAATCAACATCACGGATTTCGCGACTTATTCATATTGCTATCAATCCATCCACAGCTCGTATTATCATGACCATCACCATATTTTGCGTACGATCGAGCGACGCTTGGATCCGGATGCGAAGTAGACGGGGTGCGACTTAGCGAGCCCGGAGATGAAGGTGCCGAGGAACCGGGTGTTTCTGCAGATGCAGCTGTGGGGTTCGCCGTTGCTCTGGCTGCGGCAGCTGCAGCTGCGGGGTTGCAGTGTGCACAGACAAAGATGTTGAAGCCGCGACCGTTGCAGCTGAGACAGATTGCTCCTCTGGGAATTGTGTTAGCTTGTTGGGATGTAGATGTAAAGGGTGCTTGTTAGGCTGTATACCTCGGGGCGTTCCCAGCGCAACCCTTGCATGTGACTACCGTCCGCCCTCCGATGCACGATATGTGCTCGGGGTCAAGGTTGAGTAAGAACTGGGTGGAACTGGCCATTGTAATGGAGATAGAGGTATAGACAAGGGAAATATTGAAAGATAAATGATGTGAATGTAGAGAGTGAAGTATGATCAAGATCTACCTGATATAAAGTGCAGGCTTTGTGGTATTCTTCCTTTCTCTCAGGGGTAAAACTATCAATAAAGAATATCGAGTATACTGTGAATCCAGAAAGAGTAGTTGGGAACAAAGGAAGACAATAGTGCCAAAGTGTACTGAAGGCAGAGATGATAGACGGAGAAACAACGGATTTCTTATACAGGAAAAAATTAAGTACCACCAACGAACTTTCCAAGATTTTCCAAGTGTCACATATGCGATATGCACAAGGGAGCGTGGAATTGATGACGGGAATCGAGATTGAGTCCGGGATGATCAGCAGGACAGAGAGAGGGACAGTGATAGGACAGTTATCCAGGTACATGATGTACATGGATATTTCATTTGCCCATATTCATTTCAATCGAATCCTTCGGTTAATTCCAAAAAGAAAAGAAAAAGATCCAACATGAGAAGAAAACGGCACAAAAAGCCGTTCTGGACTTAGCTGAGTTGTCGACCCCAGCTGTCCAGGTGCTTGTACCTGTCGAGCTAAGGTGCCCAGCAGCGGAAATGCAGGGTTTATGAAACAGGAGCTGGTGGGGGATTCTGGTGTTTCTCGATCCATACGACCAGGCCTACGTTTGCAAAGGGTTCATTCGCTGGATCATTCTGTGAGATGATTTTTAGAGCAGAATGCATGCAGTGAAACTAAAATGCCACCAAATTGGCAAATCAAACTTGATCTAGTGTTAGGCAGGCAGTCGTTCATGTGCAGCGGAAAAGATGTCCCAGCAGCATGGCCGCCACATCGTGACACGAACAAGATCTTGACCGCACAAACTGGTATACCATTTTCCCATGGGTCAGGACTGTCGACATGTCCACGAGTATGGGGTGTGAAATTCCAACCACGGATAGCTGCATTGGACCATGCCACTATGATCTGATCTCCGAAATGATGTATAGATGATACAAGGCCATGCTGGGTGGATTTCCGATGGTTTCTCTGGGTCTCTCTCAGCTGTCATATTTTCCTGAGATGTTCTTTCCATCTCAACCGAAAAGGGTAAAGGGTAAAGCATCATGCATGGAAGTTGGAATTGACAGTCAGACGGTCACCGAGGTTCGCCTAACATATACCCAATCAGGAACGGTGTGTAGTTCCAGGGGTTCTACCGAGTGCTGTCAAGGTGTATTGAGCAGTAAGAAAAATGCGCAGTGACGATCTTGTGCAGGGATCAAACCGATGCAATGATCTCCATAATCCGCATATCACATTGATAATATTGCGTCGTAAGCACAATCTCCGATAAGCACAGCCGGAGAGAGCGGATGCAACTGACAGGTGCATGTGGTGCGGGCATAAAGATTCTGAAAAAAAGAAAAGAAAAAGCTGCAGCTGTAATGAGAGGTGAAAAGAAAGCTCTGTGAGAGGTGTGAGCAACCAATAAGCAGATAGAAGGAGGAATCAAACTTTGGACTCACAACCAATGGCAAGTCCAAGTTCACAGCCGAAAGCCCGAAGCGCCGTGGATGTGACATCGCTCAAGCAGGTAACCGTGGAGGGGGGCTGCAAAGACAGGGGGGAAAGACCGAGAAAATCTTCCCCTTTGACATTCTCATCTCAACATTGCAAGGATCCTTGCAGCCGTTTGGCTTCTTCCATTGTATCTGACTTGAAGCGCTTCTGCAGATTGGTCACATGCAGACTTGGATGTGGAAATGACACGCATCCATGAGCTCAAAAATCTCACCCTCGAAGTTTGCATGCGGTCTGCCAAAATAACAATGTAAGCTAAAGTTGAGTGCAAATAGAAGCAACGGGTATGCGCGTCACTGGAGGGGGGCTGTGGATTTGTACAAAGGAAAATATCAGCCTCTGATGCTGTAGGAACCAGCTAGTTCAAACTTCTCGTTCAACCAGTTCGCTGTTAGGGAACCTGCAGCCAGTCACTTCCAATCACGCGCTAGTCCAGGATTCATAGTCCAAAATTTGAACTCGGGCTGGAATCGAGACTTCGCATGAGCGGCAAGTCCCGTCAATTATTAGAAGTTTCCATGTCTTAAGCCATGTGAGACTTCCGAAGGTCCTGGAACCAGAACATTTGTAAATAACCTTCGGCGATTGGTGTCACTGTTGAACCCCGAGGATGCCGAGAGGGAAAAAAAGCAAGTAACATGAGGTTGCACTTGAATGGGAAAAAAAGACTCAATTGCAAGTCAGCTGATATGAACCTATAGGATACCTGCAGCCCAGTTCCCATTGTCGATGCAACAAGTCTGGGTCACCCTTTTTTTTTACCTGTGGGAATGCTGTGATTCATTTCTATGAAAATAAGATGAATAGCTTCTTTTGCTGTGGATTAAGGATACACGTTGTATATGCAGTATAAAAGATCGAGCACGTAGAACATCAGATATGAGTCTCCGAAAATCGGCACCTAAAAGATCACTTGAAGCATAAAATGAACTCACATTCCAGGTAGATGCTGACCTCCGGCAACAGTGGAATGATATCACGGTGCATATTCAAATGAGACTACAAGAATACCCAAAATCGGTACCTGACAGGCCCCGGTGCCGGGATTACATGATACATAGTCAAAAATAAAGGATTGTCATTCTCCATTACGATCTGCATAGCTATCATATGGAAAAGAATAAGGCGCTATGTGGCGTTCCATCTTCGAGCTGACCCAGCTAATGGTTGTGTGGCCACGGTAAAGGGAAAAAATCAAAGAAATGGCGAAGAAACAAATTAACCAACCAATAAAACGCCCAGCCGTGGCGGCTCCTATGGTCAACACGGCAGTGATCGGGTGAGGACCTCCTGTGCTTGCTCATGGAGCCACGACATGAAACAGTAGCGACGGGGGAAGCGTAAAACAAACAAGCACCCTGAATCCATCCTTCCACGCAAAGCCAGGACGCCTGGGTAATCCCGAAATCATAAAATCGTTGGAATCACGCCGAAACTCATGTTTCGGCGTTAAATCATAAAATATGGAAAGGCGAAGAGCAAAAGAAACCGAAGCTCAGTGATTCCGATCACTGGAAGTATTCATTGGGCAACGCTGCTAGCACGGCGATGGTTCCGAGACCACCCAGCAGAGCACTGACGACGGCCGTGGTGGCGTGGCTCGCCAAGGACTTTGAAGCTGAGTGGTTAGACTTCATTCTCTTCGCGGGACGCTCATTCTCAGCAAATGCAGACACATTTTCGGCAAGTGCGGAGCTGATCGCATCCTTGGCTTCAGAGGAAATTGTGTTAAGGTCGAGATCTGGCTGACTGATGGGCTCTACAGGTAGCCGCTGAGCATCCTGAGAAAGACTGGGTTCAAGAGATGACGATTGCATCTCTGTTGCAGTACGCTTCAAACTTGATTTTTTAGATGTTGCCAGGTAGGGCACACAAACATCTTCCAAGGGTGCACTGGTCGAGAATGGTCCATCATGATAACAATTCTCGAATTCATGGGAGAAGGACGGTAACCCAACGGTGCTCTCAATCTTCCGTTGCATTGGTGGGTATTTGTTCTGGCATGAGCTTGGCAGCTCACCAGAAACAGTGTGTGTCGGGAACCGAGCGCCTGGGTTCGTCATACCAGGGGCAGTCTCTGGCATCAATGGTTTGCTCTTCAGTGTGGGGTTCGGCGGCTGATCCAGAAGAGCCTCGTGGCACAGTCGATCAGGGCCAGCTTCCTCGAGATCATGCTTGGACACTTCGACGGCATCAGTGTGGTTGGTGCGTTCAAGCTTCTTTGCATACTCCAAACCAAGCGGGGGATAGATACACTTCTGTGGAATGCGGTGCTCAAGACGCTCATCATCTGAGGAACAATCAGAGTCATTTTCGGATTCATCAGACACCTCATCAACTTCCTCCAAGTCCTCGTCATCATCTTCCTTATCGTCGTCTTCCTCAGAGTCTTCAGCCGACACTTCACTGCCAGCTCCGTTAATCGATTTGCTGTCGAACATCCTATACGGATAGTGGGCGTAGTTCTCAGAGATCGAATCACTCAGACCATCTGACTCAGAGATGTACCCCTCACTGCCCTGGGCTTCTTCGTCTGAATCAACGGACTCGTCATCAGCGAGCCAATTTTTGTCGAAATTCGGATCCCAGTAAGGAGCCACATTGCACCACCGATTTCCGATCATTTGGGGCTCCCAAGCCCTCACGATCCAGCATTTGTGACAATCATCAACCTCGGTTCCAGTCTCGAGCTGGCGCTTCAAATCTTCGCTGAGAAGCTCCAGTGGCTTTTCAACGATCCACCACAAATTGCTCACATGCTGACCATCTTCCTCTTCGTAGATGATCCAATACCTTCGCTTATCGACTGACCAGTACCTAAGAAGGCTGCCAGGCATACGATGGAACGAAGTGTCTGATTCCTCGGAGTCCGGCTCCCAATGGACTTCTGTCCCAACGCAAGGTTGGAAGCTAGGGGAATCATCTACCCAGTACGAATCTTTGGAAAGAGAACAACGGCGTGCAGCGTGGATGATGCGCCTATCGTGGTCAACGTCGGGTATTATGTTGGATTCACCCCAAGCCATGTCTGCCAGGCGCATGAACATGGGCCGCATCATGGTCCAGTTGCTGTAATGGACTTCGGGTACCTTCTGGTAACAGACTGCAGGGAGGTCATTTGCGTCATTTGCTTGTTGGGCAGATGGAATTTCGGTAGAGGCTGGTTTTGTGGGAGATATCATGGCATCTGAGACCGGTTTGGCAGGAGAGAGTTTAGTGTCGGAGACCGGATTGCAATCGGACAGCGGACTGAGAAGCTCCGGGACCAGTAGGGTAGGGCCGGGCACAACTTTTGTGATAGACTCATCGATTGGAGACAAGCGTCCTGGATGGACCTCCGGTTCGTCCTTTGGATATTCGTCGTTCTGGACACTCGAGACAGGAGAGACTAGAGATGTATCCGCAGGCTGCATAACAGTAGTTTCCCAAGATCGAGCAACAGACTCTTTAGAAGAGTCATCACTAGGGAAGTCAGCAGGCTCGATATCGCTATCGTCTTCGGGAACAGAGAAACTGTTGGTTGAGGGGCTTGGATCTAGTTTGATAGCAACTCCATCATGTGGAATGACCACACGCTGGGCTTTGAGCCACTCAACCTTGCAGCGGACTGAGATGGCCTCAAAGACTTCTGTACTTGGTTAGCTCCAATATTATCGGACTGGGATTGAGAACTTACCCTGGCCACGGTCGACATCGACACCAAATCGGATGATATCTCCACTGAACAGTGGGGTATTCACATCTGTCACCAGTTTGGAATCATTCAGAAAGGTTCCGTGTGTTGAGCCACAGTCGGAGATGAAAACCATCTATCAAGAACGTCAGCTTGACTATATGGTCGGATTTGGAGCTTCAAACTAACATTTTGGTCTGGCGGTATGTTAAGAAAGGCATGGTCACGAGACATGACCCGAGACTCAAACCAAGCGTTCTCTGCTGCAGGACTCCGTTTTCGAGTTTCCCGCTTTGAGGCACGTCCGATCGCAACGGTTATGTCATTGTCCGTGAGGGTGAGGGTACGTAGAGGGTGGGTGTCTTCGAAAAGGGGGACAAGCGTCACGGTGACTGTGAATTCGAGATATTAGTTGCGAGCAAAGTGACTGTTGAGAGTTCTAAGTACTTACCGCGTGGGTCCGGCATGGTGAAAGGTAGATCAACGATGGTGCTGTGTAGGATTTGGAAAGCAGAAATAGGAAGATGTTTGTCTCTAGACGATGGTTAGACTGAGAGATGGAATTTTATGATAGCAGAGATCATGACTGCAAGGTAGAATGAATAACAAAGCATGGGGAGATGAAGGGTGGGGAGTAGATTAGGGAAGTTGGAGACAAAGGCAGCTTACCCGGGTGTTTCCAGGCTGCAACGTGATCACATGGACCAGTTGAAACCGGGAGATAGTAGATTTGCAGAAAGTGCGAGCAAAGCAACTCAGAATAGCGAATATGAAGAGTTCAAAGCACAGGTGTAGAAGAGGAAAGGAAGGGAGAGAGGGGTAGATTCATGAATCAGGTCGAAGTTAGGTTCACCGCTGACAAGAAGTTTGGGAGTAAGCCTTTGAAATAGAGCTCAACTTTATCCTCAGTTACCGGCAAATCTATTCAGAATTTAAGAAGTCAAGATTCAACAAGAAACTAAGAACTCAACTGCCCGGAAGCCCAGGAACAATGAGGTATGTATGAGAAGTGATAGTATAAGATAAGCAAATGACGCCGTTGGGCTTATTGCAACACATATATACTCTGGCTTATTGGCTCGACACTTTCCGACCGGACACAGACGGGCTAGATATAGTACTTATCACCTTACTGAATCTTTTTGACTATTCAGTCCCTTTCTTCAACGTATAAGAAAGCAAAAAAAAACATAAGATGCCGATAAGGGGTGGGGTCAGCTGATGTGGGGACAACACGTCATGGTCATCCGTACATTTTACACGAACTATGGGAATTACTATACCCGTATATGCGTATATGCGTATACATGTGGTCAATAGCAACTTGGCAGCATTTTAGTATACAATCATCTGATCTTAATGAGCACTCTCATTTTCCTCTATGGTACACAAATTACTACATGGTCAACCCCTCTCCAATGCACTTATCCGGGCTCGGTTTGCCGTCCATCGGCCCATCCTATCCCGAGTCCTATCTCAGACCTAGTACCAAAACAAAAAGAAAAAAAAAAGAAGGCAGACGGGGAATATGTCAACCAATAGTAAATACACGCAGAGATAATAGTGACCGGGGATCCAAAGATACCGAAACCGGAAGAGAAAATGGCTTAGACAGTAATACCCAGACCGGGGTGAAGAAAGAAGCGAAGAATCGAAGAGTGAAGATGGTCCGCGGACTTGCTTACATACCAGGGGCACCACCGTTCATGGCACCCATGGTGTTCAGGCGGGCAGCTAGCTGGGGGTACTTCTCCTGAACCTCCAACTGAGTGCGGGTGGCCTCGGCATAGGAGATGGCGTTGATGATCTCAGCCTCGGTGCGAGCCAGCTCGGCAGCGCGCTCAAAGTACTTGAGAGCCTGGGAGACCTTGCCCTGCTGGAGGAGAAGCTGGGCCATGGTGCCGACAGCAATATCGCACTCGGGGTCAATGATGAGAGCCTTCTGGCAGAGGTTCTCGGCCTCCTGGAAGTCGTGCTTCCACTGGAACAAAGCAAGGGCCTTGTTGATCAGGGGCAGAACGTTGATGCCCATGGGCTTGCTCTGCTTCTCCATTTCGACGGCCTTGTCAAACTTCTCAATGGCCTCGGAGTAGTTCTGTTGATCAAGCAGAAGCTCGCCGTAGTAGTTGTATACATCGGGAACATCCTCAAAGTTCTTTACTGTCCGGCGGAAAGTGGCCATCGCTGAGGCGACGGAGCCCATCTTGTATTGTGTCACGCCAAGTTGGATGTGAGAGTAAATGAACGACCGGTCGAGGTCGATCGACTTCTGGTAGTCCTTGGCGGCCTCGGCAAGCTCGGTCAGGATGAAGTGCAGCTGGGCACGGTGGTAGTAGATATCAGGGTCGTCCTTGTTGTGAGTAATGGCAAGCTCAAAGTCATCGGCCGCAGCGTCCTTGTTACCGAGCTCCAGGTGCAAGCTGGCGCGCTTGATGTAGCTTTGAACCAGGGAAGGTGACAGCTCAACGCTCTTGTCCAAGTCGGCCAAAGCGCCAGTGGCGTTACCGCCTAGGTAGGTGAAGGTGGCTCGCATGTTGAGGGCCAATCCTTCAAATTCGCCAAGCTCGCCGAGCTCAAGCGCCTTCTCGAAGGCGGCAGCAGCCTCTTCGTAGCCATCGGCAGTCTTCTTGCCCATAGCGATGAGGCCCTTACGCAGCTGGCCCTTGCCGGACTCATCGCTCAGCTCAACCGACTCTTCCAATCCCTCGGGCAGGACCTGGGGACGGAAGCTCTGGAGGTAGTTGGAGACAAAGGTGGCACTGGGCAACTTCTTGGTGCGCGCCTCCAGAATAGCCTGGCTCTTCTTCTCGGCAACCTTCTTCAGCAGCCGTTCGAGCGAGTTTCGGCTCACGTCGTTGGAGAAGGCATCAATGATGCAGCTAGCTGTGAAGTCGAGGAGAGCCTCGCTGTACTTTTCAAGGTGCTCATATGCAATGGCTCTTCGGTTGAGGGCCTTGACGTATTCGCTGTCCATGGCGAGAGCGGCGCTGGTGTCCTCGACGACCTTCTCCCAGTTGGACTGGACGTTGTAGCAGGCGGCGCGGTTGGAGTAGAAGACGGGGTCGGGCTTGCAAATAATGGCCTTACCGTACAACTCAATCGCGTTGGGGTAGTCCTTGATTCCGTAGGCCTTGTTACCGGCGGCCTTCAGCTTGGCCGCATAGGCGTTCCGGGTCTTACTTGTCAGCGAAAGCCTGACAAAGAACGTTGCTTAACATACCTCTTCGGAAAGCTGTCCAATAGTTGCCTCATCCACTTCGGGAAGCTCATCGGTGGGCTCCTCTGCCTTTTTGGGAGACTCTGGAATCTTGTCAGTCATACGACCACCGTGTTTAAACAAGAGCACATACCATCCTTCACTGACGCAGCCTTTTCCTCCTCGGCCTTCTTCTTTTCTTTCCGTCGCTGGTTCTTGCTCTTCTTGGGTGCTGGGGGGTGGATTTGCTGGAATCGTTCAGGTAGTAGACGACACCCGCGCCGGTCACGACAACGGCAACACCGGCAATAGTGTAAACAACGGCCTTGTTCTCTGAGACCCAGTTGGTGATGCGATCCCAGACCGATGCCGATGATGACTCGGTCAGCTTTGATGTATCAAGCACCACATTTTGGGCGGGTGTAGGTAACGGCAATTCGTTCGACATGATGTGTAAGGGAACCAGGCAAAGGACCGACGCGGCTAGTTCTAAAATGTATGCAGATATCAGTATTCAATCGGTAAGTCAGGCCCAATTAGGCTGAGATGGAAGACAATGTTACTAACCAGACCTCGACAAAAGGAGTTAGAGATGGGAAGTCGGGAATGATGAAGCTCAGAGGAAAAGTCAAGGGTTCCGCTGGCCGGGCCGGCCAATCACGCGCCCTGCGCCGGTAACGCTCAAGTTCTCCACAACACATGTCCGGATTGAACAGAGTTGGCTCATCGGATCTTTTTGTATTATTCCCCTTCTTTCTTCCTTTGATATCCGTCCAAAGCAACATCATTTGGATTCGTCTATTATTTGGCAAGACTAACTTGGTAACTATAGCAACGACCGTAAGCCATTGACCTTCGCAAAAATGACCGAGAACTCTTCAATCCCACAATCGTTCGAGATCATTTCCTCCCTTCGCTTTGACCCGGGCCTTTCAGATGCAGCCTGTCGCCATGCATCGAGCTATCCTGATCCTCACAAATCTCCCTATTACCTCCTCGCCTATCACCAAGATCGGCTCATAGCTGCTGCAGCTTATTTCGAATGGAACGGGGCTCTAAGCTGGCTGCAACAAGACTTGCAAAGCTTCGAGGAGTTCCTCGACACATCGATTCCGGACCGAAGCAAGGCGTGGAGGCTTCGAATTGTAGTGAACAGCAAAGGGAAGGCGAGAGTTGAGGCGAGCCCAACAGCGAGCATTGACCTAATGAGTATGTTCATTCCCTCTCTACATACGAACCCAAGCCTACCGATATGGCGCGTCTATGTCGACACCCAATCAACAACTCCTTCCGGCTTCACCACACATAAAACCACCGCGCGTGATGACTACACGTCTGCACGGCTGAGAGCGGGAATTAATTCGCCGACGGATCTTGCGGAGGTACTGATTGTGAACCCGAATGGCGAGGTTATGGAAGGCAGCATCACTACCCCGTACTTCTTGCGGGACCATATGTGGATCACTCCCCCACTGAGCAGCGGTGGCAATGCGGGTACAACACGGAGGTATGCATTATCTCAGGGTTTTTGTCTAGAGCACACCATATCCCGGGATGAGCTTGTGGATGGCGAGTTGTGTTGGTTGAGCAACGGCGTAAGGGGGGTTCATTCGTGGCCAGGTCATAGCCAAGTAAGAATACCCCATACTACATACCACATACTACATAGTATGTACATATGTACCTATGTACGCACCCACTTCAATGGGTACAATGTCAGCTAGTCAATATTTGAATGGTATTGGTGAATTGATGAAAAGGCTATGAAATCACGCGTATTTTGAAGTTGATGGCTCCGGAAAATGTCCCTCGCCCTAGCAGGCTTATTTCTTAGCCTTCTCGACCACCACTGGGTTGGGGTTCCCCTTCCACTCCAGAGGGCGCGGACGCATGTACTCGGCCATGATCTCATCCGTAACCTGTGCCCTGCGCTCCTGGAATCCTTGAACATAAGTTTGTAGCTCGGCGATACACTTCTGCTTGATCTCGCCGGTCATCATCTTTCCACCCTCGTAATCGGTACGGATGCGCTCCAGCTCCTGGTCATCCTCGAGGAAGAAGGTCAAGTACTGGAATGGGATATCGTTCTTGGTGTTGCCACCCAGCTCCCGCTGCAACTCCGCGGTGTCCTGGCCGCCTGAGAAAGCGTGCTTGTTGATCTTGTTCTTGATCTTGTTAGGCGTGTCGCTCATGAAAATGGCGGAACTGTCGATACTGGCAGACATCTTAGATCCAGGACCCTGGAGGGCGGGAAGGAAAATAGAGTGGATG